CTTATTATAGAGTCCCGTGTCTTTTAATTTTTGTAATACATGACAAATATGAAGTTCATTTTCTTTTATATTTTTAGAATAGATCAAGATATTGTCTAGATAACAAACTATAAAATTGTCCAAAAACTCTCAAAAAATAACATTCATAAGATGTTGAAAAGCTTTTGGTGCATTTATAAGTCCGAAAGGCATGATATTATATTCAAAATGACCATATTTGGCTTAAAATATAGTCTTCCATTCATCTCCTTCATGCATACCAAATTGTATGCTCATTGTAGATTTATTTTTATATAGATCTTAGCTCATTAAAAAGTCTAGATATTAAAGGTAGTGGATACCTATTCTTAATGGTGATCTTGTTGACTCCTCAATAATTAACACACATTTGCAATGTTCCATCTTTTTTCTTCACAAATAGAATTGGAGCTCCTGCTGGAGATTTGAAATGGTGTATGAAGTTCTTTGCTAGATTTTCTTCAATATACTCTTTGAGTTCAACCAATTCATTTTGTAATAAATTATAGATTGGTCCAAATGGCAATTGTGTTCTTTCTTGAAGGTCAATTGAGTAGTCATAGGGATGATGTTCTAAAAGAGTATCTGCATTCTTTTTTTCAAATACATCTTAAAAATCTTGATATTGACTTGGAATACCACTTGAAATTTTTGTACCATTAGAAATGGATGTAGCATAAATGACAAAAGGTGATCTTGCTTTTGCAACATGCACGAAAGCTCTTGTACCTACAAATATAGGTTTAATTGTACTAGACTTGTGATTTTCTACTTAATTAATTATACTCTTAGTTTTACTTTTAGGAAAGTCAAGAATACAAGAAATCCAATCTACTCAAGGGTTGTATTTTTTTTAACCACAATAAGCCTAAAATGATTAGATTAGAGAGAGATCTAATAATATTAAATACCACAAAGCTATTACTACCATTACTTATTACTTCTATAGGAAGGATTTGTGAGTAACATCTCTAAAAGATAATAGGCAACTATCTATGACTTCTACATAAATAAGTTTAGTTTTCCTTACTAAAAATATGTTAAGTCTTTTAGCAAATTCTTTATTTAAGAAACATGTTGAGGCTCCTGAATCTAAGAAAGCAAAGGCTTTGTAATGTATAGGTCATAAAATAATATTTAATATAAAACAAGGAGAAGGTTCTGAGAAGAGAATATGACCTTCATTAGGTATTGTACAAGATATCAGCCACATGATTCCTATTATAGCTGGATAAATTTGTTTTCCAATATATTATCTTCTTTGACATTTGTACTTTTCATTTTATAACTGCCTCCTTTCTTTGGACAATATTCAGTAGTATGCTTACGCTCTCTATAATATAAGCACAATCCTTCTTAAAGGTGACAAATCTTCTCTTGCAAAGTAAGTGGTTTGAAACGTATTGCATCAATTTGCATATCCTCTACTTTTGAATGTATGTGTTGAGAAGCATTAATATTGCCATTGACTTGTAGTAACGTTGAGGCCCACTTGTCCAACTTTTAGATCAAAATTCAAAAATTTAATTGTAGCATTTCATAGCAAAGTCAATTGCTTAACTCAATATTTGAGGATTAAGTAGGTTGAGCATTAATTTTTTTACCTCATATTATAATCTATAGAGAAATTGGCTAATAAATACAATATCGTTCCAATTGATATCAGTTGCAAGTTGTCAAAATTATGAAGCATATAATACTATGGATCGATTACCTTATCATAAAATATGAATCTTGTTGATTCAACACGAGTTGTATCATGTTTTTCATACATAAATAAAAAAAAGCCTCCAAATTATCCAATATTAGATCTCATCATTCAAGAACATATGAAAACTATGATAATGCTAAACTTGAAAGAAGTATACTAATAAATCTAACTTGTGATCTTGGAGTTGAATAGCTTTGGAATTGAAGTTCAATCACAAGTTGTACTTGATTGATAAATCCTCAAAACTTGGAACTTGAGCCATCAAATTTCTTAAGTAAGGCAATTCTTAGTTCTCTAGTACTAGAAGGATGTTCCATTGTAGGAGAAGGAACATGTTTGGATGCAGATGTTGAAGCAGCTCCAATCATATATATATCATCACTTCTTGCTATTCTTATTGTTCTTTATGGTGGTAAACTAAGTCAATACATTGCAAGTAGTATCTTCCTCAATTACTCTTCCATTTGTGCTATTGCACTCTTTATTTCAATAAAATATGAAGTGAAAGTAGTAAGAACAAAGAACAAAAGAAGAATAACACAAAACAAGTGAAACAAGTGTAATCAAGTAATTATATACTATAAACTAGTCACAATCTATTTATTAGATTTTTACCCAATAAAAATAAAAATTAAAAATTAAAAAGTAAGTTTTTTGATAGGTAATTTTTTATCTTTCCAATGACATAAAAAAACATATAAATCCAAGTTACTATGAATAAGTTATGATAGATTAAAAATAGAATGTAAATAATAGATAAGTTAGGTGAATAATTTTTACCTCAAGTATAATTTGCTTAAGAGATCAAGAGTTCGAGCCTCACCAAGGCTTACAAGAAGTGTATATATGGTGTCTTAAGAGGCCTTGAGGCCTTAGTTTTATCTTCTTACCTATATCCAAGGTGCTACAACCCATATGGGACTTGTACACCTTCTTTGCTATGAGAACTAGACTAGCTGCTAATCCTCCTATTTTCTACTAGTAAAATTTATTTTTTTGCATTTTCGACTTCACCATGGTGTTTAAAAATACCTTATTAGTCTATGAACCTCTTAAGGCCTTCGAATCTTGCTTCAATTTTTCATAATGGCTCCCAAGGTAATAAAATTTAATTTTACTAATGACTTAAAATCTTCTATAAAAATTCCTAAAAAACTCTAAATAAATTCTAAATAATCATAAAATATTTTTATAATTATAATATCTATTTAAAGATATATTTTCCTATCTTAATAATTTTTTATAGTAATAAAATCAATTTACATCCACTAAAAATCCTATTTTCTAAAGAAATACTAAAAAGACATGAAGTTCTCTTCATACTTCTTCTAACTACTAATTAATCATTGATAGGATTTTTATAAGTAATAAATATATTTAATTAAGACTAGCAATTAAGTTTAAGAAGTCCTAAAATAAATTAGACTTGAATTAATACTAATTTCTAATAATTATAACATAATTAAATTGTACTTTATATATGAATTGAATATAACTTCAATTGAGAGAAATCCACATTGACTACCATTACAAGTTGGACTAGAAGAAACTCACTTATATCATTACAAAAAATAAATAAAAAATAAAAAAAATATCAAGATAGATCTAAAAAAAACCTAATTTGGATGGAACATGAGATTTCAATAAGATTAGCAAAATACCAAAGACAAGAATTCCTAATACTCAAGTTTGTGGCTTACTTATATTACTAATTAATTATAGTAGCTAGTCGTTTTGCTTAGGTTGGTAATTTGTTATTGTGTTCTATTCCAAGTTCTATTACTTAAAGTATAAGACATATTCTATCACTTAAAATATAAGACATATTCTATTACTTGAAGTAAAAAATACATGTATTCTTAATAAATTAGAATTTTTTATAATTTGTTCTATGTTCCAATCACAAGAAGAATTATTATGTTATTATTATGCACTAAAAATTTTTAAATTAAAAAAGTTTTATCTATTTAAATATTAAATAAAAATAAAAGTAATCAATTGAGTATTTTTAGTGCAACCTAGACTTAAACTCATCCAATTTTTTCACAACTGTTTTTATCACAAATTTATGCTTAAAAATCCTAAAAATTTCAAAGTTACTAAAATGCACCTGGTTTAGTATTAATTATTAAAGAATTTAAAGTGGGAAATGAAGAAGAAGAAAAGAGAAAATAAAAAATATTAACGAAAAACCTTCAAAGTATACATCTACTTGTTAAAGAAATATCCTAATATTTCTTTAATTGCTAGATTATTAAAAATATATAAAATATGAATTTAAAGAAAATTGTTCCTTTTTCATAATATTTATAGGATTTAAATTTAATTTTTTAATATTAATTTTAAATATTTTTTTTTTAAAAAAATGATATACAATATAATTAAAAAAAGCCATAAAATAGATGAAAAATCAACCTCATGTTGAATATTTAAATTAGTATAAAAATTAATTTCTTAGACACAATAAAATCAATAAATAAATATATGTAGAGATCTCTATATATACAATCATCCACAAAAACTAAAATAGAACATATTTGAGAGGTGACTTTGCTAAAAATTTAATACTTGTATCTAGGCTCTCTCTAAAACCAAAATTTATTTATAATAACTGTAGTAAAACAACATTAACAGAAATTTTTATTTATCATATTAAAATAAATATATTGAATCTTCTTTTTTTTAACTTCTAAACTTTTTATAGAGAGGATGTTAATTTTAGAATCACATACATTGCATTAACATCCATCCAACATCAAATGGAATTGTTTTTCGTTAAACCATTATACTAATTACATGTCACTACAAGAAGGTCTTAAATCAAAAAAAAGTTAATGACTAAAAACAGTAAAGTGTGGTACTACATGTTAAATTTGGTATCCTTTAAGGTTTGAAAGTTGAAAAGATAATATCATTAAAATTTTAAAACATAAAAATTACATCAAAGATTAATTTATTGAAAAAAAACCATAGTTTTTCTGGTCATTTTAATTTTCTTAAATATTTTAAATTTAATTTAAATTTGAAATACACAAAAATCCATATAAAAATCTTCTATTAATTATTAACTTCAAAAAAAAATTATTTCATTAAGACTTCATGTAAAATAAGCCACAGAATCTGCTTATCCATCTTGAAAATTTAAATATACATCATATGAAATCATTTCCGTTGGTTGATATTAAATTTCCTTCCAAAGATGTATGAACCTGGTATGATATAATCCTTGAATTCGGACATCAATGAATATATGGAATATTTAGAGTAAAAGTTTCAAAAATAAGAATATAGTTTTTTTTTTAATCAGAAACACTTAGTATAAAAACTGTCAAGTTCAGTTTGATATCATAAAGTGCAAAAACCTTCCCTTCCTGTATTACTAGAAAATATGATATGCGTCCAGGTTTGTTAAAAGAGTGTACCATGTAACTTCTTTTCTCAAAGAAAGATGCTTGTGCAGTTTTTTTTTTTTTTTTTTTTTTTTTTTTAATAGTAAAAAAGAAAGACAACAAAAATTCTTCTTCCAGGACTGACATTTGTGCCAGAATATACCTCGAGATTCAAAAGCTTAGATTGTACCGATAGAAGAGCCCAATCTCAGCTGTTGCGGTCCGTACACTCTGAGCCAGTGATGTCGGTTCCTTATTCTGTCACTGAAAACTCCCCGTGTTGAGGCTTTCACAATCAATCTGCGGTTGTATTTGTAGCTATGAAGTCTACTGTTTGCTCTTACAAACTCGAGCTGGCCTTGTATCAGTTGTCGGAACTCAATGTCTTATCTGTCAAGTTTCGATCGGTGGTTCACAGTGCAGCATAAACTAGGTACAGGTTACGCTATGAGGAGTGAATTTCTGAGCAAAATAATGCCTCAGACAATGAAACTATTGACCATGATGATCATGAATTGGGTGGATGAGGCTGTGTGTGCGTATCTCTGTCCTAGCGAAGGGTATATGTTGCTTTGTCTGGCAAAGAGGGCCATGCGATGAAGCTATAACCCGGTTTTGATGCTATATATAAGCTGAGCAGCAACTTGATTTTTGAATCCCAAATTCATCTCGGGAAGGGCAAGGAAAATTGGAGCTGCTAAATTTCTGAGGTGGTATCCTCAAAAGGCAACGGGACTTGCTTGGTTGCTCGATATCTACCCACATTGTTTAAATGCTCATTTTCTAATCTGCACATATAAACACATCACTTAGCAAGTGCCGCAATTGTGTATTTAGTAGGGTGATGTTACAAAACAATTCTAATAGTTATGGGGTTGTTGCAATTCTGACTTGTTCCTATCCAATCGTATATCCTGCACTTGTCAATTGTGTAATTATGATTTTAATGATGAAGCTCTAAACATTATGGGAATAATCTTGGATGATGTAATTTATCAGAAGCAATCAAAGGAACTGAAACTTTATCCTAGCACCTGTAGAAATTCCAGTGGCCTCGACGCAAGATCTCAAGAGCCGCAAATAAGAAGTTCATAACAGAGCTGTCTAGCGATCCAAATGTAAAATGTGTCATCGATTGTAACCACGCCATTCTAAGGAAAACATTTAGTGCCTGCAAACGTGGACAGCATAGACCTTCGTTAGAAGCGTACTCGAGGAAATAAGTGAAATCGGGCAGCTTATGCATTGGAATCTAGGTTCGATTAGCAATCTTGTGGATAACATCCTAAAGTGAGAGAAATCGATGGTATGTTCAAAACCGGAGATAACGCACTACGAATACATTGAAGAAACTCAAGTTTAGCACCGGTAGCATAAAATTCAATATTCTTCTGAAGTTTGAAGCAGAGAGAAAGGGAGCAATGTAATACCATCGATGCAAAATATATCCACTTTCGCTTCAAAAGGAGCTCGTCTCTCAACCATCTATTCTTGGAGTCTCGACGAAGAAGTCCCCAATCAACGAATGTGTCCCAATATACTTGATAAATAGTCGCAATTGTTGACGCAATGAAAAATGTAACCAACAATCCTACAGATGAGTTCTTGGAATAGGTTATTTTCAACGCTACTGCAACCATAGCTGATAAGTACTTCCCGGCATTCGCCAAATGTACAAAGTCTTTCTCCTCAGCCCAGCGTCTGAAACACTGTTCAAAATAGATGATTCAACGTGCACTATTAGACACAGTAAAGTTCGTACATGTTGTTAACTACAGACTTTTGAAGAGGATGAGGATGTACATTGGGAACTGTCGAGTTGGCAAGACGTGTATACATTGTAAGAGATATAACCTGAAGTTGAAGAAATGCTTCTGCAGATGTGAACCTCATTTGAGAACCCAACTGTGCAAAACCCTTTCTGAATCTCTTTTTGGTTTCTAGATGGGGGAAAGAGAAAACCAATACGTTCTATGAAATGCTAATCGTAGCTTGGAAACTCTACAGAAACCGTTAAATCTCAAGTAACTGACGGGTTGGAACAAGTAGTTGTGAATGAAGATCGGCAACATTGAGAAAATATCTCTAACACGCAATCAGCGGCAAAGAACTCAAATCACATGAAACTTTCTACGATGTGGGATCAACCGTACTGAGAGCTCATCAAGCTTGGCATGCACATAGGACTGATCATACCTGCCAAAACCGCCACCAATAGGGTAACAAAGCTATAACATACGTCCAATGATCAAACCGCTTGCTCTTAGTGCAGGCCTCGCTATTCCTGCTTAGAAAATATCCACCGCAGTAGTAGCACAGCACGAACTCTAAATTTCTCAACGTCGACACCTGTTCGTACCTTGATGTTAGTCTGTGAGCATAGACCCACCGTGTTCATTTTATCTCCGCGTGCTTTAATGCACACATCTGCAGTGATATAGATCTAGTGTACTAACATACATGGAATTATAATCTGAATAGATGCAGAAAAAAATTAGAGTTCATGGATGAGTTCAACCTGGCTCGTTAACTGGTCTGCAACGAAAAAATCGGCCAGCATTACCTGCACTTGAGAAGTTATATGATTTTCTCAAACCCCGAAATATTCATCCCTATGCTCCCAAAAAATAAAATCGAGAAAAACAACCAAATGCATAAGAAACCTCTACTCGAAACCAAATACATAGGAGAGGTATAAAATTAAGCACCTTGGAAAGTGGCGCACAGATAATACGCAAGAACACGTTTAAAAAGAAGAAGCGGCTGGAGCGGTAACATATATTCAGAGGATTTAACAATAACGCCAAAAATATCTGCTCCACGCACATTCAAAGGCTTAACAGATTGAAAGGAACTAAATTTTAAAACAAAAGCTCCTTTAAGGGCACAAAATGATTAGCTCCACACCAACCAGATAGGCAACTAAGGACTTACCAGCATTACTGTAACAGGAATGAGGTCAATATACGGGGATGCTTGTCCTGGAATGAGCGTAGAGTGAATGCTCAGATGAACCACCATGGCTCCAATTACTAAAGTGGTCAACGCTGTACACACGAGAAGAACTTCCCTGTATCTTAGCTCTGAACCAGGTGAAAACTCGAAGATGAAGGCATAATTGATTCGAGCACGCTTCCATAAAAAGATGTTCCATCCGTAGAGATACATGTGTAGGAGGACAAGCGCTAGCATGCTGTTCTCTCACCATATATTACATCCCCAAAATCCATCAGTGAAGGAAATGACAGCCACAAATAATATCGCAACAGATGTCCTAAGAAACCCTGAAGAAAATGCTTGAGTAAAGCAAAGCTCTAAACTAATGTCAGGACAGCCTTAATATTGCTGAAAGTTAGACACAGTGCTCATCAACAATTATGAACCAAAGACAAGCTTAAAAATTCACGAGCTATTAGCAGAGGTGAACTGATGCTACTTGAGAAGACCCGGATGGATACAATACCTGAAAGTAGGGAAAATTGTGTGCAGATAACTAACTCGGCCTTTGTCGCTGTAATCCCCGCCTAGACGAAGAAGGACCCCGAATGCCGCTATGAGTGCGACGGAACATCCAGTAAAGAAGCCTGCCCAAAAGACCTGTTAACCAAGATTTCTTGGGAGTATTGATAACAGAATTTACTTTAGGATATCCATTGATTAAATTAAGATGTTGCTTCTGAACCCAGAGAAACATATTTCTTCACCAAAATGTTACTACAGAGAAATTAATGTCTGAAATGTCGATCTGTCTGCGTCATTCACACTTAAGAAGCCTTCACGGCATGTATAATTTAGCTCAGTAAGTATAAGGACTTCAAAAGATTCCATGTTAAAACAGTCCACAGCCATGGTCACTTGGTACGATCCTTGTACCAAGAAAATATGTCACATGATGAGACGCTGATTGTTGCATGGGCCTCAATGCAGCCATTGCCTGCCGCCGATGACCTCCTGTAAAATGCTCCGTATATATCTCCTCAACTCTGTCCATTAGGACTGCAACCTGTAACAGAGATTAATTAACCAACTAAAACGATTCTGCATTCAAGAATGACTCGCACATTCTTCATTATACTGCACTTGTGATATTTGGGATTACAGCGAGAAATATTTCCACAGAAATGAGTCTAAAACTGGCAATACAGTAGTGAAGTCACTGATTTCATGACTTCATCAAGGCATCATGGAAAATCTGCAGCTGTTGCAACATCAATAGTCCCTAACCAGAAATTAGCTCGCTCAGATGCTTTTAGAAAATGTAATATAAAACACAAAGTCAATTAGGTATTTATTTTAACAAAATAATCCCGACACACAACTATCAAAAAAAAGTTGAGAGCTAAGTTCTATTTCATATTTAGCGAAATCAACGAACCAAATATACGCTGTCTGGGCACTGACGTGCGCACATTTTAAACATTTTAAGTACTTTATCATTTCTTTCAAAATGAGTAACAATTTCTTACTTTGTCAGAGCTGTTGACATAAGTCCGCTCCACGTGATGCATGTACTTTTCAGCTACACACAAGCTAGTCACCTGCAAATCATGGATGAGAGAGTGTGAGAGAGCCATTTATTCACAAAGATACAAGTGTGTTATCAATGATTAAGAGTTGTTCATGGTATCGAATTATTCGACACAGCTATTTTCAAAATCAGAGATAAAACCATGCACGATGGTATTGGCTGAAATGATTTTAGAGAGCAAGTTTACGAGAGTCTCAGGTGAATGTCAATGCATTCTTCAACCCCTCTTGCTTATTTACACCTATTATCGTGACAATTAGCCTTTTTCCCAAAGTACGACTTATTTCTGCTGTAACAAAACAGGAGCAGTAGCTCCAGGATATTGAAATTACCTTATCATACTTCTTCATGATTTTGGCGAATGCAAGCACATTCAACGAACTGTCACAGTTCCAACAAATCGAGCGAGATGAGCTTGGATTCTCGAAAAATGACATGATAACTAAAAAGTCATCCCAGGAAGTTCCATTAATCCGAGGTTGCAATATAAACAAGATGATGAATGCAAGCATAAATATGTTCCCACTAACTTGCATGTGAAATGTACGAGCTAACGAGAAGAACAATCCTGAAGCCTCACTTCTCCAACGTAAAAGTTCTAGTAGAAGGAAAGCTACAGCACACAATGACCAACAACGAAATCCACTATTACAATACTATGCCAATCAGAAACATCGAAGAATCTAAGCATGAATACTGACATCAATTGTTTGTCTACTAAACAGTGAGACTTCATATTTCACATAGGAACTCACTCTGTAAGTCAGTCAGCTGAAGTGATGCATGACAAACTTCACGATCAGTGTGCTAAATAACATGGACCGCAGTATTTTGAAACAAGACAAACAATGAGGGATAGAGGTGACGATGCCAAGTAACCTTAAAGTGTGTCGAGAAATGTTCCGTGATAAAACCCAAAAAAATAGACACGAGGATTTACCAACCTGTAGCTCTTCAGCAAACCAAGCCCACGATAGAACTCAACATAAGCCGCACGTAACATGAGCGTAGCACTTTGAATCTTCTTCTGGCTCACAATATAGTCTTCTCGTCCTCTGTACAATGTTGAAGCTTTTTTAGACTGTCGGAAGACGTCCTCCCAAAGCATCTGTGCAAGGGCTGCAAGAGTAGCTGCAGGAGTAGTGCGTGGAATGATGAGCCTCACTTGGTTTCTGCTTGTATACTGTGAATTCCTTGACATGCTGCCTACAGAAACCTCCGTTGAGGCTGGACTTGAAGTAGACCCGAGTGAACTTGACTCCACTGGTTCAATCGTCCTTCGTCGCAGGGGTAAGGTGGGTAACCCACTTGCAGCAAACGTGGCTTTGGCGATGGATTCAAGGAGGTCGACATTCTGGTCATAGAAGCCTCCCTCCATGTTTTCCTGAGCGTCCCCTGGAGAAATGATTGCTTGATAAAATACATATGTCGGAAGAGCTATGCATGCAACAAGCATCAAGAATCGGACGGGTGGATGGAACTACAATATAATTGTGCAACACCAAAACAACTTAAATTAACTGTCATCTCGCAGGTTAAAATTATATGCAAATGCTTCACACCAGAGCATGTTTGGATTTTGTAATAGCTTATTTTACTTAAATCCATCATTGTAAGAATATGAGAACACCTACCAAGTTCGGATTGCCTTCCACTCGTACCATACCCGTCCTGTCTGATACGACCCTGCTCCAGCAGCTTCTTCACACCAGTCAGTGCACATATTTGCTTATCTAAAATAGCGCCTCGTTGTATAAACTCATCCTCTTTCCGTTTATAAAATTCGTTCACTTTATTAAGTTGTGCATCGAGACTTTTAAAAAAAGCTTGGTCATATTCGGAATGAGCAATTGGTCCGAGTAACTCTGTTTCGTAGACGTAGTAATCTCCAATCTCCGGCTTCCTACCATGCACCTGTTAAGCAAAATTGAAGGCAACATTCGATTAATTCAGCTTTCATAATACTTGAAAGGCTCAAATGGCACGAGTTGAGGCAATGTATCCTCGATAGACCGGGTCAAAACAAAAGTAAGCCTCAGGTTTAGAGAATTAAAAAGAATCACAGATCAGTCCAGCTCTTCTGATCACTTCTTGGAAACCTGCAAATAGCTGAATCTTATTGAATTGAGATGCTAGAATGTCTATTCAGCAGAAAGTGTTCGCAATGAGATACCTGAATAAGATCAATGTGAGACCAAAAGCTTTTCCTACAACTGTGCCCACGATCCAGAGGATTTCCTGAGAAAGAATTTAATCCAGGACCATCTGAGATATCCAGAGGATTTTCTTTTATTTTGTTTATGCTCTTTTTCAAAGTTTTATACTGACAATACGCTCCTCTCCATTCTGGTACCAGCTGTAATTCCAACTGCTTTGCAAACTTTACCATCGTTTCGTGCGGCGCGCCCCCTAAAGCACATGTCACCTCGCCTTCGGCGCAGACATCACAAGTCTCTTGCAGAAGAACACAATTTTCTTATGATTGTTCGTAAAAGCAGGTCAGATGACCCGCCAGCCAAGGCCGACTCTCATATATGTTCACTTCGTGAGTCAGAGCAGACTGGAGCCCATCAGGCTTGAAGACAATTGTTTTTCAATTGGTAAAGAGAGAGCGTTCGGAAGCAACATCTATGCATAAACCCTTGTAGAGTTCACAACAATGCACAAGACCCTAAATATGGCAAAATGAGAAGCGCTTCGGTCGAGATGCTCCAAAATATTGGAGTGACTTTAAGAATGTTTTCCTGTAAGCAAAGCAAGCCACTACGATTAATAAAAAATACTCCGGGATCGTAGTTGCAAAAATAAGACTTTAAACATCACTTCAATACATACAATCATTGCTGTCGCGCAGCTACAAGAACTCATTTGCCCGCACTCTTCCGCCATTTCTGATAAAGCACACCTCATAAAATGAAGATAGGTACGGAGTTTCACATTGCAAAGCAACTTCGACAGCTAATCTCTGTCTCGTACCAGAAGGAGATCCCGATCGCGAAAATTTCTATGACAATTTTTGAATAGGTCATAATTAATAAAGCAATCCGCATCCTTAGTCCTGATCAAACTAGCATGCCAAAGTACAAAAATAAATATTCATGACAACAAAAGAAGTCTTCTGATGGTGAGAGACTAAAATATGCGTGACGAAGAGGTCGAATTAATAAGAAAAAACACAGAGCACTAAAAACCTCAGGATGCAGAGCTTACAATAGTGCCTGTCAGGAATATTTATGCAGCATTTTTTACAACCCGAACAAAGCCGTTTTTGCTTCTGCCGTAGACAACTCCTAAGCAGAACAAGAACAAAACCCGATCGCTCGAAGGTTGAATTCCTTGAAGTAGTCAGAAAATAGGAAAGTGGCAAACACTGACTTCCTAAGCTCCTCCTGGGGCAGAGCGACAAATTAATGCATCAAAGTCCCTGCTCCACCATTAGATCTTCACCGTGACCCCAACTATTCAACAGTTTGTAGCCCCAGACTCGATAATGATTATAATGTACCCATACAATACAATGTTCATAATGAGAACATAACCTAGTAGTACTACCTGCATCATCATGCCTATCAGAAATTGCTCGAAAATTCAGCATATGCTTCAACTGCTTTGTTGAGAAGTTTCGAATATCCTTGCTTTGCAAATTTAGAGGCCGATCACAAGAATGTAGCGCCAATGCACAGGTCATATCCGACTTCAAAGCACTTATGAGATTGGCATCAAAAGTCTTAACTATTCATCTTCGTACGATGGGAAGTCGAGCACGTCAGGAACCCGGCGAGACAAGCGGGATTATCGTACTACTGAAAAGCTAATCATGAAACCTCCATGATTGTACATTCCAATCTGACCATTTACATGCGTTTCACCTCTTTGTCATGCCACACATACCAGAGACCCTTGTGCAATTTGCACTCTTGCTTCCAGCATTCTGTGTCCTTGAACACATACGGATCTCACGTACAGATTTGCGTCCTCGAGCTATTAATACTTTCTAATATAATCAAGTACATCGAAGACTCTTCTACTGGCCAAAAAGAATGATTCAATTCCCATCCCTACAAAGTCAACCCCTATGAAGCTTGCAGAACTGAATAATTTCAGGACCACCTGTAATACCTGCAGATGGGTCTGATTCTGAGTATAGTTAATTAGCTAAAGTCAACGAATAGAGCTCCCAGCTTCGTCAACTTCAGTGTACAAATTATAGATACACTGCAGCTTCTCATCAAACAGTTCACGGTGTCTCTGGACCCATTGGCAAATCGTACAAATAGCCTGGCATCCTAACTGTTTCGACTCTGGAAAGACGAAGTAAGGCTTGTTAGGGTGAATGCTTTGCCCACGTCCAGTCACGACCTTTGACTCTACTTTATTGTTAAGGCATAAACTGTCGTCTCTAAACTACTTTTCATAAGCGTTTCAGACGTGTTTCTGTTGTTTATACCTTTACGTGGAAGCGTAGAAGTATCTCAGGGTACATGACAGCATTTTGAGGACAAATGACTACTTGAGAAGCTTGCAACGAATAAGACCAGAAAGACAATTCTATAGTATCTAGAAAAGGTGCTTATCCATTTGCATAAATATGAAAAGAGAGACGAAGAACGTTATATAAAACTACAAGAGCTCGGAAAGATATACCAATTCTACCGAAAAGAATTTTTGAATGACTTTAATACGTTGATAGTCGCGGACGTAGGGGAAGAACAATTAAAATTGCAGCACAAGGAGCGTTCAGTCTGAGTTTGATGAAAGAGCACAGTGAAGTCATTGAAGAAACAACTTCTTTCGAAAAATAGAGCATCTAGAGCTTACATTTCCGTACAACTCGTATACCATGCAGGCGACAAATTTTGCTCAACCCTTCTGTTACCAAAAGTTTCTGCTGTAGGTAATGATTGTGGCGTAGATCCATATATCTAAAATTCACCTGGGGTGATTTTCCGTTATTTTCGTCACAGAATTGACTTGTGAGCATTGCACACAAAAATAGACATGAATTTCCACGAATCCAAACCCTATTGAGTGGAAATCACCATAAGTCCCTACAAGCTTCTAACTAGGATACAGAAAGAGACCAATGAGCTTCAATCCAGGTCAAAGGTCAAAACCTTTTCATAGAGAGAACAAAAACAGCATCCGCAGCAGACAGCGAGTCACATATTAACCTAGAAGATAAAATGAGCGAAGTGGTACATCAAAGGACCAAAATGCCCAGGGCTGAGTGAATCCCACGGACACAGCAATCCTGCAATCCGGAATTGCGACTCTCTCAAATTTGCCAAACGCTAAACTGGAATCATGAATAAAATTACGGAGTCTCGTTTATGAGAAACCTCCAAAGAAATTCATGATCAATAGTGTTTCGTCAACACTTCGACTGGAAGGAACAGAATTGCATCGCGAATTACCCTACAGAGACCACAAATGGCAATTCCAGGAGGAAGACGAAGCTGAAAACGTCCAAAAAGAAGGCTGAAAACAACATCGAATCCTCTACCATGGTACGAAAAATACCTCGTTAAACCGCTCCACAACGTACTTCGGGAAAGAGCGACCCAACCCACCCTCGTACTACTACAACCAGCCCTCACCCAAACGCCATCCAAACCACCGCAACCCGCTAATGAAAATCTCACGACCTCACCACAGATCCGATCTCCACATCGAAACATAACTTCAGTCTCCTAACAGCCAATTAGTTACCCCACTCGAGAAGCCAAACTCCCGACGACCGACCGCAAGCCAGCAGACCATGCTCCACACGCCAGATCTCCCAAATACACAAATGGCTATGCGAAATGAAAACGAAAGAAGAGAAATAGTAAACGATTGGGAAAGGAGGGAAGAATCCTATCGTCCTACCTTCAGATGAGGAGGATACAATAATCGTCGAAGCGAGAGGGACGAAGACGAGCCATATTATTCTTCGCGCTTCCACTAAAGCACTTACCAAGCGCCTTGGGGAGGAAGAAGAAGCTTGTGCCAAGAGTCGCTCGGTGGCGGGCCCTGCGCTCTTTCCCCGCTCCCTTTGTTCTCCCCTCCCCTTCGCATGGATTCTGCTTTGTTTGACCCAGCCTGGGGTTTTGTTGCCTTGTCTACTACCCCACAATGCTGACGTGGAATGCGTCGGGCCACGTGGATTGGGCGGCATGGTTGCCATGCTACATGGTAAGCACCTGTTACATGCACTTGACATTAGGATTTTGGGTCTTGATCCTCATTGGATCATCAACCCTTACTAGTGCTTCCCTTCTTTGAAAGGACATGATATTTTTGTCCTCACATTAACCACCATAACGACTGAATAAAATTAAAAATTAGTACGAGCCAGCGTGGCACTAATAACACTCGAGAATAACATTTCGTAGCACGCTTTCCAGGAGAGCAGCTGCATCACCTTTGCCGCACGCCTCGTGTATCGCTGACCTGGAAATCCAATTTTATGAGATCGTGGAAGAAATTCATATGTGTCCAATGTAAATTGTACATTAAAAGTTCTTGTAAAATGTGGAATACAGGTATCGCGGACTGTGGACACACCATTAGGGACGTGCTGTGGATGAATGTCGAAAGATGGAGATTGACATAAATTTTTTATCACCACACTCGATGAAGGTCAACGGGATGAAGAATTGCAATGCAAGGTGACGTAAGCCTGTACGACAGTATCTTGCATTTGAAGAAGCTCAGCCAAGTCACTGCTATGCCAAGTGGCTGAATGCAAGGAGGGTGACCTGGTAGAAGGGGTCCACGTTGAGGGAATAGCAGAAGTGGGTCTTCTTGCCAATCCAAAACTTTGTATTCCCCCTAAAACCGCTTATTCTCACATGTGTGAACGCGTTCAGCATGCTCCTCATCTTCTCAACAATACCACGACGGTGGGAACGTGTCCCAGATGAGGATGAACACATGAAGTAACCGTCTAAAACAGGTCCAGACAAGCATGCATGGTCCACACCTCCAGGGCTCACCGGGAGGTGCGGTCCCAGTTCTAGGTTTGGACCTCATTGGGGACCTCATTCAGAAGTCCTCCCATCTGATCACGTGGAGACCTCTAATTAATTTCGACCTCTAGTTAATTTTGTGAGGCAGAATAACGCAAGAGTAAAGGATACATAAACAAGTCGAGCTTTGAAAGAAGACGCTGGGTTTTACATTCGTAACAAATAAGGATCCATCAGTCTGAGCAACTGAATAAGAATGAATTTTGATAAGGTTGTAGATGAAGTATTAGTGCAAATCCAATTATATCTATATCTAAGTCAATTAATTTTTATATTCTTAGAATTTATTCTAACCATTACATATATGTTTATTTATAGGTATACTTCAAATACAAAAATTCATATAAGAATATTAATATTATGTTTTTATCTTTTTCTATCAAAAATATTTAAGGGGATAAACCAATAGGATAAATCAAAGGAGACAAAAACCAACTTTTGATTGGTTGCATATCTTGTTGTTTTTATCAAAAGTGACACAAAATAAAAAAGCAATAACTCAACTTTTGATCAATCAAAGATCAAAATATATATGTTACTACAAATTGCTAAGAATAGCACTACAAGATCACTAAGCATAGAGTTCAAAAACTCCCAACAAATAAATGAACTAACAAATATTTGCCGTCAACTACTTTTTTCATGGTCAACAATATAAGTTTTCACTATATATGTATATATAAACACTATAAATATACACAAACATAGTTATCAATTTTAAAAATCTTAGACTTTTAAATCTTTTATACAATAGTTATTTTAAAAATAAATATACTTATTTTATTTTATTTTATAAAAAACTAATATATGATTATATTATGTTTTCTATATTCTTTCATGATACATATATTTTTTTAAGTGCCAATTGCAATATAATAAGTGATGGATGTATTTATTTTATTACACTTTTTTTCCCTCATGTAGAAAGATTGATAGTGTGGATAATCATTTTGTATTAATTTTAATATTTTATATAATATATATTTTTTAAAATTATTATATATGTAGTGAATTGGGAAAAATAGTTCAAAGAATATTAATCAAATAAAAAAATAGAATCTATTCCATGTGATGTTTAAAGATTTATAAATATTTAATTTTATTATTTACAAATGCCAATAAATTTATATGTGAATAGTGTTTTAGGCAAATTGAAATGAGCAAACACAAAGTACTACTTTTTCTTTAAAAACATATTATATAAAAACAAACAAAACACATCCAATTTTCTCATTAAAGAATATTTATGATTAAGCAATGTTGGATTGCTGAAATACCACAAAGATTCCAAACTTGTTGATTAATATATATTTTTTTGAACCATGTAAATTTTAAAAAGACCTATACATTACATTACAAAATTTTAATTTATGAAGATAATATATAAAATTTATTAAATATTCTATATTTTTTTTAAAAAAATTTCAATTAAAAAATATTTGAAGAACATTAGTTATTTTTTAGATATTAAAAATCTATATATATATATATATATATATATATATATAATTTATTATAAATACAAAAAGAATAAATATTTCTACTTTGTATATAAATAAGTTGATTAAAATTTTATATATTGAATATTAATGCTACATAGATATAAAATTACATATATTAAATTATGTTCAAGATAGAATATATTTTTAATTCAAGGTTATAAAAACATATATTTATTTAGGTTCATCAAATTTAATTTAGAGAATTATTAATTATATCATAAAAATCATAAAATTAAAATAGATAGTTATTTATTGCTACTATTGTTGAGGACATGAATCAAAATAAAACTTTAAAAATAAAAATATACTCTTATATTACAAAAGAGAAAAAATAGACAACTAAAACATAGATATAGAATTAAAATTAGAATAGCTATTGCTAAATACAAAAAGACTAAGAAGTCTTGAACCAAGATAGACCACAAGAAAGGCATTGACAAGAGTGATGAAAACTTCACTCTTGCCTCTATATATACTATCTACTAAAGAATTACAAGGCAATATCATATAGGCAATATAAAACATGTCCAACTTGTAAAACATATGTTTAATTGTAAGATGAATTTCCGACATAAATGCCCCATGACCATCTTGTAATACAAGTGGCTAAATATGCAACATGTGTCCAACTTATTGGCAAAGTTGTCAATCTACCAATCACTTATAAACATGGGTGAAGTCAACAAAGTTTCTAAGAAGATTTCCAATAAGATATCGACAATTATTCCTACTTGTTCCTAATTCTACATAATTCTACTTATTTAAGCAAACATACTAGTGAATATGACTATATGTTATGACAATAATCAATTGCAAACTTTACATGCTTCATATTATATAATATTAGATGTGACTTTTTAACTTTAAATACTTCTATTGATATTATTAAAAATTGGTATTACTATAATTTTATATATATATATATATATATATATAGTAGAATTGCATAAGAAGTGTATCGTTATAATAATAATAATAATAATAATAATAATTTTTATTTGTTACTATACATCTTTTTGCACTTTTGTTTAGAATAACTTGATAATATATTTCTATAATATCTATTTAGGTAATTATTCTTTGATATAAGATTCTTTATTTATTTAAATAGCAATAAAGAGAATGCACATTTACTCTTTTTTTTTTTTTTTTTTTTTTTCTCCTTCATAATATTTCAGTTTACAAGCAACATTCATTCACATTACTAAGTGATTGAATGAAATTTTAAATGAAAAAAAAAACAGAAAGAATACGGACCATTAAAAATACAATGATGCAGTTATTAGAAACAGATTCAAAATTTTTTTTAGAGAATTTGTTCCAATAGTAACCAATTTTGAAGTTAAAACACAACCTTGTTCAATTCTATATGCAACTGCAAATGCTCTAGACAAATTATGCTCTGTCTCTTTCTTTACCTCCTAACAAGTTGTGTTATCCAATGAATTTCATAACACCATGTCATTGATCTTCTATGTTTGAAAAACATTTCATCATCCAATTCTCCTTGTTTTAAATACGACTGCTGCAAGTTCGAGGCAAAAAAACGTAACGTCAAAAAAGAAGGCCAACATGCCCCTGGTTGCAACTTTGCTTCAACCAGGGGCATAATATGACATTGAATCTGATCCACTTTTTATTTTTTGTAGGAAACCGCCCAAGATGTGAGATACGATTCCATATCGAACAATGTGAGTACTAACCGGACTAATTCCATCACGCTGGTTTTTGTCGCTGGAAAAACCGACTCCTGTGTCTAAGTTTGCTTACCTTCTGCTCAGAAATCTTAAGCATAGGAGCAGTTTTGGGACTCTGCAAGCTCCTTTTGCTTGCTCCTTGTTTATCTGACCACAATCAATCATGCCATCGTCAGTGTATCAATGGATGCAATCTCTATGGTTACAAAGTCTTTTGCAGAGCTTACCTCTTGTATGTAATCTCACACGCTTCAGTTCCAAAGCTGTGCTGTATAGAAAATTGATTCACGAATCCAACACCATTCGTGCAACGAACTCATCCTATTGATATGCAGACATTCTAGATGATAGATTACCGGCGGATTTTCTATCTCTTGTGTCGGAAGCAACTTGGTCTGCAACCAACTTGGTATTCACGAAGAGAACGCGGAGACTATTCCATCTATTCTAAGTGTTCGTAAATTAATTCTGCAGACAATCGGAAGCGACCACTGCATTAAGCACTGACCTATTTGCCGGCATACAAATCCACTTTTCATCTTTGATTCTTATCTACAAACACGAGCATTCAAGAGTCCTATTTCAGAAAACTCACTTGTTGTTTGCACATGTAATTAACCAAAATGTCAGATAACACGTTTGAAACAAAAAAAAAGATGGCTAGAGTCTAATATTTGATATATTATTAAACTTTTATTTCGTAGTGAACTAGACAGTAAGGAAGCAACATGCACCAGCAAAAAAAAGCTGGATCGTTTACTGACTAACTGGAAACACTAGAGTGTATCCGAAATGGTCAAGATGGAAAATGGTATCAGTTGTCTGGAATGAACTATTCTTGATGGGGGCGTTTGGAACATTCTTCGTCTAGGATGGGGTGAAACCTTTTCATGTGATGGATGATGTGTGGCTTGGTCCATCAATGCGCACTTGACAAGTATTTCATGCAAAGATCTGATTCCACTTCGCCTCGAGCACTATGGCTTCCGATTAACCCACTGCCGTGTAAGTCTGCTCTTGCGCCAGTAAATCATCAATCCAATCGAAATTGCAATGAAGAAATAAGTTGATACTTCTCATCCACCGCTGAGAAAGAGATTTCATGCTCTGTGTTCGTTACTTGATCACAATTTACCTCACGATATGGCGATATCCGACAAGCAATTCACGTCCGAGGCACATCCTGGAACCATTTGTGGAAAGCGTCTTTGACTTGGGAGGAGGGACCGGATTTCGTGCTAAAACCTCCGTCGCATTTGTCTTTTTCGAACAGCCTATTGCAAAAATTCTAGATCACGAGCGGCCTGTGACTTATTCTACGCAGCTCTCCCTTTTGAGGTCCCGTTGACACATGTTGTCCCCACGTCACTATGATCGCGGAGCCAGTCGATTGAGTTGGGAGGTTTGTGCGGCACAATTCTACGAAGATGTGGTCCCGAGGTTGAAGCTTAGCCCCTCCCGGCAGATGATTGCGTCTGCACACAGAATTGGTGATTATCCGGCAGCCGTCGTTTATAGGTTTGTGTTAGCTTGCGGGGCAAAGTTGAATGGATTTGCTGGAGGATTTGTGAGCTGGTAGTGGTAGTTCTGGTGAAAGAACGGAATGTGATTGCAGACATTTTCTTGGCTTCAGCGCGTCTGCACGTTCATCCAGAATCCCTCAAGACGCACCGGCCACAGAACTAAAATTTTCAGACTATACGGTACACCAAGCTATCGCTGATTCCTTAGCCATCTATCTCTTGCAGCGCACCAGCTGTTGCAGAATACGGCTACATTGCCCGACTTCTAGAGATCCACCGATCAGAGGCGGTGACGATTGACGCTCTGACGTATAGTTTGAGGAGGATTCGAACAGGAGCATGCAGGAGTAAGCGGATTGGGGCATGACGGAGTTGAACGATCGTGAGTCTGTGGTGTATGAATTTCTAGGATTTGAACATTTAGTCCCCATCCACGCTTCGTGCAGCCTTCAGAGGGCTATTGCGCAGTGCCCAGAGAGGAAAGTCTAGCTAAGGTGTTGGAATTAACAGTGTCAGCATTAGAGGCGCGGATTGCTACAATCTGTGTGGAGATTTTGGAAATGATGAGAAGCTCGGGAAGTGGACGATGCCTTTTTGGGACTGCCAGTCGTTTTCAATAGGTGGGAAGTACCACGCAGTAGAGCTGTTTCGGCGATCTTGAGGGATTTGGAAAAGGAGAGAAGGGATTGATAAGCACATGCTGGACTTTTCGTAGATGCTCTTCGAAGATGGTGCTCGATCAAAGCGATGCAAGCAGAATTTTTGGTTCGCAGTGATTGCTTGAGCCTTCTCTCCAGGGTTCGCACCCTACTTAGGGCACAGCTTCTTTCAAGCAGGTGTTAGCTTACGTTCTCAAAGAGTTCAACTCCTTTCGTCCCCGCATTGCAAGTGCAATTCCATCCAAAGAGTTGGATAGAGTTACGGGCCTCTCATGTGGAGATGAGGAGGATCCGATCGAAAGGAGGGGTCAAGCTCTCCAAACTGCTGTTGCTCTTATTCTTGTCGCTCTCAACAGGAGAGTCCACACACGGGACTGCACCTGTGAAGGCAGATGATGTATACAAACCGATCCTCGGCACCATCAAGGACCGATTTGCCCTGCGCGTTTATGCTCATAATCTTTTACCATCAAGATCTGACGAAGAATCTTGTCGCCAGACACCACAGGATGGTGTTGACACCGTGGTGCGAGTCACGGATGGTCAGGTACATTTAATACAAGCACACGCTTATGCTCATAGTCTGGGGCTCTAGCTTCATTCTGATAAATAATCTTTTCTCGGGCCTTCTCAGTTGATCACATCGTTGAATTGGTTGCTGACCACCTAGTAGTTCTGAAGATGTTGTTTGTTAATGTAGGCGTTAGAAACGGCAGATTGGTATATCTCCAAGCATTCTGTATCATGGAGAAGTTTACTTCAGGTTCAATCCCCAATCTCGCCCACAGATGGTGCCGTGGAAACAGTTCAGCCAGCACAGGGAGCAGAATCACATACTCGGGTGTCAACCATAGTCATTGTTGTTGTTGTTAGCGTAGTTTCAACGCTTATTTTAGCGACGATAGCATTTTGTATCTACCGCAGACGCATGCTCCGGAAATTTTCAGCAGCAAGGGAGAGGCCCCTTCTGCATGCCAGTCCTCCTTTAAAAGGGGAACCAGGATCGATACCGCGTGGGGAGTATGAGGAGGACTCTGTTCCAGGCTATGGTACTGGGGATTTATTCAATTCTCCCAGGACTAATCCGACGCGAAGAGAGAATGGCACTATAATATCTTCGAGTCCTTTTGCCGAAGGTGTGGAGCTGACAGATTGCGAGGGCAAAAAACAGGCACGTGACGGAGAAAATTTTGTTCAGAGCAATACAGACCTGTTGGATAGAAAGGTTGCCGAGCTACAACAGTCAGACGCAATCAGTAACGGATTGTTTCATAACCCGACCATGCCCCTTTTTAGTGAATCGGGATCAGGAGACAATAGAACATTTGAGGAGATGGAGGATGGAGTGTTTAACTTCTACACAGCGCCAACTACACCATCTCCCTCACCCTTGAGATTTGATGAACCTTGTCATTCAAGGGTATCTTTACCACCACTTGAGACCAGGCTGGACCAGGTTGAAGATTCCAAAGCACCGCCAGGTAGCTTCGGCAGCTTTATTTATCCTGCTCCAATGACACCTGTTTCTTCAGTTTCCAAAGTCCAAGCAGAATGTGAAAATCTTGAGACAGCAATCAGCTTCGATACCCCTGCTACTCTCTCATCTTTTCCCTCATTCCCTAAGATTCGCCTAGAGATTGAAGAAGGTGAAGACGCAATCAGCGTCGTCATGTCTAGTGCAGTATCACCAGTTCCGTCAGTTTCTAAGATACGAGCAGAGTTTGAAGAGACCGAAAGTGCAAATGCCAGAAGGCCCCAGCCCAATTCTCACAGCCGGAGCTCAAGGTTTGAGGAAAATATGGATCCATACCCAGTTGGATGGCAACGATATTCTATGGTAAATAAGCCGAAGAAACCTGATGTTCCAATAAAGTCGAGTTTTGCCAGTGCTCCTACCCCAGGGCCGCGTCCTTTACCTGCTCCACCCTCAGCTCCTGCCCTGCCAGAAATTCTTTCAGAATCTCCAAATGTTGTATATACTAAGCTTCAGGAATACATGCATCAATTCGAAGCAAAGACTGCGGGCGAGGATTTTGGTAGTGGTGGTTGGTCCACACCCACATCTTCTTCATCTGGAAGAGAAGGTACAAGCTCTAGTTTTCCATCTATGACCATCGGCACAGCAGGTGGCGCTGAGGAATCAAAAGCTTCTGGCTCGGGTACGGGCATACTTCCTTTATTTCTTCCAACTGCAGTTAAAACAGAAAGCCTTGAGGAATTTCACGAGACAAATCCATTCGCCAAGGTTGGAAATTCATACTCTGAGCCTGATCCCTCAACTGCTATTGAACCACCCTTAACTCCTCATTCTTCGTCTGGAAGGAAAACTTCCGGATATGCACCTCCCCCTGCACCACCACCTCTACCCCCTCCGCCCAGAAGGGAAAGTTCGCCTCCGCCTCCGCCTCCGTCAACCCCTCCTCCTGGAAGTATGAGTACTGGACCTTCACAGCCTGCACCAGCACCATCTCTTAAAAGCGAAAGTTCTGGGCCGCCACCAACTCCTTCACCTCCCCCACATACTTCTGGATGCACAAGACCTGGACCATCACCTTCACCACCTCCTTCGAAGAATACTTTACCGCCACCCCCACCTCCACCTCCTGCGAGTAAGAGACCAGGACCTCCGCTTCCACCACCACCACCACCACCTCCTCCTTCTCCACTAGGAAGCAAGACTTCTGAACCATCACCTCTTCTTGGGAGCAAGAGACCAGGACCTCCTCCACCTCCACCACCTCCTCCTGGAAGCAAGACTCATACATCGCCACCTCCTCCGCCTCCACCACCTCCTCCTGGAAGCAATACTCATACATCGCCACCTCCTCTTCCTCCACCACCTCCTCTTCCTCCACCACCTCCTGCTCCTGGGAGTAAGAGATCCGGACTTCCGCCACCTCCTCCTCCTCCTCCTCCACCACCTCCTGCTCCTGGGAGTAAGAGATCCGGACCTCCGCCACCACCTCCTCCTCCTCCTCCACCACCTCCTGCTCCTGGGAGTAAGACATCCGGACCTCCGCCACCACCTCCTCCTCCTCCTCCTCCACCACCTCCTGCTCCTGGGAGTAAGAGATCCCGACCTCCGCCACCACCTCCTCCTCCTCCTCCTCCTCCACCTCCACCTCCTGCTCCTGGGAGTAAGAGATCCGGACCTCCGCCACCACCTCCTCCGCCACCACCTCCTCCTCCTCCTACACCTCCAGCACCTCCTGCTCCTGGGAGTAAGAGATCCGGACCTCCGCCTCCACCTCCTCCGCCACCTCCTCTTCCTGGGAGTAAGAGACCAGGACCTCCTCCACCTTTGCCACCTCCTCTTGGAAGCAAGACTTCTACATCGCCTCCTCCTCCGCCACCCCCTCCTCCTGGGAATAAGAGACGAGGACCTCCTCCACCGCCAACTCCACCTCCTCAGGGAAGCAAGACTCCTGGACCGCCACCGCCAGTTAAGAAAGACCCTCTACCTCCAACCCCACCCCCATCTGGACCTTCTTCACCTGCTGGAGGAAGAGGTGGCGACCTGCCTAAACCACCACCCCCCATCAGAACATCGCCAGATCATATACCTAATCAGAGTTCCCAGCAGATGACCAAGCGGCTTCCCTGGGATCCAGTGAGGCCTAACGCAAGCCATAGTGTGTGGAAGCAGCTCAACAAGTCTTTTGAGTAAGAAGTTTCCTTTTACTGACACATGCTGTGTCTTGCACCCGTTATGCAACTCTTTTCACAGCTCACAAATCCGAATTGTCGTAGAAATCTTTCGACTACCTTGACCGCTTTGAAAGTGGTGTCATATGTTTGTCATTTTGCATGATTAGGGAATCATTTAGAAAACTGATCAGGTTGGTGCTGTGCATCTAGGCTTGATCCAGTGGTTCTGGAGCAAATGTTTGGCATTTCGAAAACTAATATCACTAAAAAGAAACCAGCTTCGTCCTCCAACAAATCAGAAACTATGGTGGCAATTCTAGATAAAACGAAAGCTCACCATTTCGGCATTCAGCTTCGTGCGCTGAGTCTCATAAGGGAAGAAGTTAGTGACGCATTGCTTGCAGGTAAGCCTGCCGTTATTGGTCTGTAGGTTGTGGCCTACGTTTTTGTGGTGCAGCTCCTCGGCCTTGCTCCTAACCTGTAGCCAAATCCATATTTTTTTTCGAAATCTTGCAGGTGACGGCCTGAGTGATGATATTCTTGAAGCCTTGGTCAAGGTAAAGCCAACCGACGATGAAAAAAAGAAGTTTCAGAAATTTGATGAAGACCCAGAACGACTTGGTACTGCAGATCGATTTATTTACTCATTATTGGCAGTGCCAAACGCATGGTTGAGACTTGAAGCTATGTTATTTAAAGCTCGGTACAAGGAAGAGCTCGATAGTGCATGGGAGTCCATTGAAACTCTGAAGGTAGGTTTGCATCTGTATTGATCCTTTTGATTTCTTCAACATTGAACCTTCAACGATTGGAAGTTGGAAGCCATTTTCTTGCTGCAGACCCTTCATACTGTGCTTGGTGTAGGTACACGAACAGTTCTGATGAAAATTGGCTTGTTTGAATCTGTTTCATTAAATATATATTAAAAAAAACAAAAAAAAACCAAAGATTGCTATCTAAATCTGTGGTTTTCCTGCAGATGGCTTGCACGGAACTCAAAGGTAGTCGGACATTCCGAAAGCTACTAGAAGCCGTGTTGAAAACTGGAAACCGTCTCAACATGGGCACATATCGAGGGAATGCTCAAGCATTTAAACTTGACAATCTTCTCAAGCTTGCTGACGTGAAAGGGGTCGACAATAAAACAACGCTGCTTCATTTTGTCATACAAGAGATCGAAAAGTCAGAATCTTTACGCTTGGCTCGATTAGCGGGCAAGGAAGTTAACAATTCACCACCTGTCTCGCCTAAGACTCCAAACACCCCTAATACGTCTGATTTTTCTGCAAGCCTTGAGGCAGCAATGATGGCAGAGAACGCTCCCAACCCTCAAACAGGAGACGAAGCAACAAAGAAGATGGGGATCGGATCGGTCATGAGATTACCTTTGGAGCTATCCATGGCAAGTAAGGCAGGCGGCTTCGACTTGAATATGTTGCAGGAGTCGGTTCGGATGTTGGTCAAGGGTCTCCAAGGGATAAAGGCCCAAGTTCAAGAAGGAAGGTATTCGATACCTGAATCAGAGCCGATGCTGAGAGCACGTGCCATAGACCTTTCCCAAGACATATTCCAACAAACCATGGAAAACTTCATCAAGAACGCTGATGCTAATGTAACAATAGTTCAGGAGGAGCTCGATGAAGTTTTGGAAGCAGTGCAGCTAACTAACATCTACTTCTATGGCAGTGAAGCAGCAAGAAGCAATTTTGAACCTCTCAAGGCCTTTGTGGTAGTAAGACATTTCATAGTTATGCTGGACAAAGCTTGTAAAGACATCACTAGATATAAAGCTCAAGCGAAAACAAGGGGTTAGTCACATTCCTAATTTCCAATTTATTACATACTCGTTCATCTCGCAACATTGAAGATAATAGCTAGCAGTACCTCAGACAGAATTCTGGGAAGAATTTCGTAGCTTGGATGCGGATAACTATGAACGACTTAGATTAGAATTGACAAGGATTGCAATGAAAGCATTCCAACTGTAATTTTTTACCTGGCAGGTCTTTTCTGCTGCTTGTATATTAAACGGTAATGACATTGGTGAAAAAATTCATCAAAACATTCTTCCATGTTTTCGCCACTCACATGTTCCTCTTCACGTACGTCTGAAAATTGAGGTCTGCAACTGTAGATCTTAACAGGTGCTGTAAAACCTCCAAATGGAGAAATCTCTGGGATTGTGAATAGAAGAGGTTCGACTCTCAATAGCAAGCTGCGCAGAAACATGACCATGATTTTGAGAAGTATACAACAGGTTTGTTGTTATTATCTGGTTTCTTTATAGAAAGGACTATTCCATTGCTTTTCATCCCGATCTGACGCAAGAATAACTCAACTTTGAGTTCATCCTTGATACGTTAATCCGATACTGGCTTCTCGGTGATTTGACCACTTGAATTGATGCTGGCAGCATCATCTTAGGGCTCTAGGTCAAGCTCCTCCTTACTGCGGCCTTGAAGAACCCCTGAGCTTATGCTATAACTTCAGCGCTGGGGTTAATATCCAGGGTGTTGTGAAATTTATGCGTTACTCGAATGCCATGGCTTTCACGATCACCTGACAAGTATCTGCAAGGCAAAGTCTCAAGCTAAACCGTCTGTGCCTTCGCTATTACTGTCCCATCGACAACTTCTTGCCCTTCTCTCTGAGGCAAATTGTGTCGAGAGCACTGCGATCTGTGCTAAGAAACGAAATCGCCCAAAGAGAAAAATTGATCTAGCAATGTAAACCGACACATGGCAGTTTTGGACTTCTTCCTGCAACCAGCCTCCGTGGTTACAACAATTGAACCAGCGATTTCGAAAACCCTGCAATTCCAGAAGCTTCCACTTCTCCCCACTCCTGTACATCCCAATCACATCCCACCCGTGTTTTTTCAGACCATTTGCTAGCGCTTGAGTCGTGCTCATCATCCTGAATGTGTTAACCTGACTTCCCAGCTTATCCACCACCTCTGTCTACTCGCTTCACTCCGCTTTGGCACACGCGTCGCATGACCACTTTTCGCATCTTGCCATTTCTCAACACATATGCGATCTTTATGCCTGGCAGATCATGCTTTCGAGCACCACAAATGCCACGACTGCCATTGCGAGACTGCTAATGCACTAGCTAAAACAAGATACACTATTTCCTTTTCCGAAAAGTAAGAGCTCCCCATCATTTCTTGGTCGCGCGCTTTTAGACATTCATGGAAGTGTGAGAGACTAATTTGAGTCTGATTTTTTATCATTAGACCACGGAACACGTAAAACGCGTTAATAATAGGTATTGCAATTAAATAAACACGAAGATTGACCTTTGAGCAGGAATCTCTCAATATTTGCAGATGCCCAGGTCTCGTCAGCCGAACTTCAAAGTCGGGGCACTGTTTCAGATTCATGGCCGAAGATATCGCGCTTCCATTGACGCAGATGTCTCACAGCATTCTCTTGGGAATCAATATTACCATATGAATCACACCCTATTGGAAGATGGGTCCCTGAACTGCCAGCCTCATGAATCCGAATTAATGAAGCTGATAATTATGCTTAGCTACTTATCAATGACAACTCGTGCAGAGACAGTAACCTCTATTGTCATGATGAAAATTCCATGCATTGCATTACTGTAGCATTGAGTGTGCAGATATGAGCACCGAATAACCTCATAACTGAGATGAAAAATTCCGAGTTAACCGCATTCAAATTTCGAATCATTCTGCACCATTCTTCTATCAATCTTCCATGACAGAGATCCACATTCTTGTTCCACAATAGTCAGAGAAAGGTAATAAGTTACCGTTAGTTTAAACGGGCAGCATGTACGGTGGACATAAGAGCAGCGGTCACGTTGAAAGTATCGACAAGGGCCAGGCATTAAAATCCTGAAATAGCATGGGGTAAAAAAATACCACCTCGAGCAGTGATGACTGATGTCCAATGATACGCTCACTTCAAGATATCGTTGCACTTGAATAACGACTGATTTCTCATCAATGCCCATCATCATCTGACATCAATGGCCAGCTGTGGAGCAAATGTGAAGTCACAGACGCCAGATGAGGAATTCCAAGAACCGCAGCTGGAAGCCTAGCGCGGGACTCAGGAATTTTCGGCAAAATTAGAAAACTCCAGCAAGAAACTGAAGATGGTAATCCATTGTTCGATGAATGAAGACTTACCGCGAACATCCGAAGGCCCACCTCCTGATCTTCGTCCACGACCCCATCTCCTGCTCTCATCCAACTTGTCCACTTCCACTCGTGACCTGGAATTTTCTATTCTAAAACTCAGCACCTCAATTTGCACCCCAATCACCGGAATCTCCATGTGACCTTCCCTTGCCAGAGATTTTGTGTTGCAAGCCTCGAAGAACCCAAACAGTGGAGCCAGGCGATTCTATGCGGGAACGATGTTGGTAATGGGCAAACTGCATTCGCTGTCGCAGCTACGAGCACCAACAGTTTTGGGGTCCTTTCCAACTTTTGAATGCCGCTCGAATGGATGAGGCTCGTCACTATTCTTGTCCGTTCTCAACGGTAGGCGGGATTGTGAGCGTTTGAACTGGCGCCCTGATAAACCTTAGCGGTCCTCTGGATGAGTTCCCTGCAGGTAGCCAGTATACGTGCCTTTTCTTTCGGCTACTTTATCAAAATCTCTCCTGGGAAAAGAACCACTTGGCTGTGTGAAGTTGTGTTGGTTCCTCTGCAAAGGTTGATGTTGATGGTTTTGGTGGAGTTGATAGTGCACAGGTGGAAAACTCAGGGGCGGTCATTTTGAGCGGGAGGATGCGGTGTTGTTGATCTTTGTTTGCGTGGAGCTGGATCTGGATGTGGGTTTTTTGGAGTTGTGGTCGGAACTCAGGGTGAAGGGTGGAGTTCGGTGGGGGTGGAAGTTTGTCTGCTTGGAGAAGAAACAGATCGGATAGACTATTGTTGCGGGATGATTTAGGAGTAGTATGCAGCTTAGGCTCAAATGAGCCTTTGATCGGGTATGTTTTACAACCGTTTTATGGCGTGTGTAGATGGAGGTTTTCGATGGTCGATCCTCGCGTTTATGAAGTGGTCTGAGCTTGGTGAGTGTAGGCATTCTAGGGGTCTTCAGGTATTCTTTGAGGTATCATCGGCAGCAGAGATTCTTCAGGCGCTTTCTTCTACATTTTGTTCAGCTCGTTCCCGTTCTTCGTTTGGGTTTCCATCCGTCCTCAGAAGTGGTGGTTGATCGTACTTTTTCCTAAAAGAGAATCACATGTGGAGATGGGACGGGTTCATTGTAATGGAGGGATGCAGCTCTCCAAGATATCGTGCCTGCTCATCTGTTTGCAGTTGAGCCTATCCTTGCCCATACTGTGTTTAGCATTGGAGCTGTCACATAACCAGATCACTTCCACTGAATCTTCTACCAAAGTCTTAGTGCAAGATCTGAATGATACACCGCCTGAGAGAGCCTATCTTCGAACGCATGCGGTGGCTGGCGGCAAGCACAACTATGAATCTAACTCTACGGGGAACGGATATCCCAGACAGGTATGCCGCAAACTCTTTGTCGACGGGGAGTTCTAGCAATGGCAGCTAAATGAGATCTTGGATCGGATCGTGATGTAGCGAAACTGCTCTAGTGAGGACATGGATTTTTGTGTCTGACTGTCTTTGGTGGAAAGGTCTGCCAAAGCTTATTTGCAGCGATTTGTTATTTTGGTCCTCGACGTGGCTGAGGAGACTGGACCAATGTCTCATATGGCACCATTTGATAGTCGTTGATAGAGGATTTTCGTAATCATCGTGGCATTCAATGTTCTCTGTGAAGTTGCTTACGAACTTCAGTTTATTTATCCTTATAGTCCACTCATATTACCCCTCTTGTGTGCAGCCGAGTGCTTTGGTCTCTCAAACTACCCAGAAGATGACGAATGTACTGGATAGTGCCCCAGTTGCAGGCCCTATTGTGTTGCTTTTACGTTATGTACACTCTTACCTCCTCTCTTCTATTCGCTATGCTTCTTCGGCAATTCGCAAGCCGTCGGTGCTTGAAGGACAGCGAAGGAGAAATACTGCGCACGTCTCGGTCCACCATTTCGATCGTCATGATGAGTTACCTCGGCCAATGAGGAGACTCCTTTTAGATGGGTCTCCTGCAAGTCCTCCACTTGCTGCACCGATAGCGGTTGCTGGATCAACATCACTGACTGGTGCTATTGCTGCTGCGGTCATTGTAAGTGTTTTCTCCACACTGGCGGTGGTGATAATGGTTCTTTGCATCTATCACAAGTGGAGTAAAAGAAATAAGGGAGGTGAAAAGCCGCTTCTTTTTTCGAGTCCAAACAAACCTGGGCTAAGATCTTGGGAATATGGCTCTGAAGAACACTCCTCGCCAGGATGTGGGTCGAAGGACCTCTCTTCCTTCAATCCATTGTACTCCGATGGGAAAAGTCTGCAGCACTTTCAATCTCAGAAATGTCTAGACGTCAAACCTCAGAATATCCCAGAGAGTGGGAAATTTGTGAAACAAACTGTTGCAGAGCCAGAGAAATGTTCCCCTCAGGATAGAAAATCTCCGTCAAAATCTCCTCGTGTAGTTGAAGTAAGGTCAGTGGGAAGAAGTGATAATGATCTATCGCGTGAGGAGAATAGTTCTGACGTAGAAGTAGATGCTTACTCTCAGGACAGTTCCACTTTTGAGGGAGGCTCTTTAAATAGTGAGACTTCTCGCGAAGACGATGAGGCGACTCTACTTGGAGGGGGCAAGCGGTTGTCATCTGACGAAGAGCACCCTGTTGTGCCACCGAGTCTAACTCTGAGTCGGGCGTCAACCCTCCCTGTGTATTCTGGTGAAGGGTCAGACGCTGGACATTCTTCCGTAAGCCCTAAGCAATCTTATTCGGAGAACAGAATTTCCAGGACTCATTCCGTCCCTACTGCATCTTTCCCACCTCCTGCCAAAGAGGATGCAATGTCCAGACATATTTATATTCCTGATGTGCCTTTCTCTCCTCTCAAGGATGGTAGAATGACTGGACTGAGTTCAGCTCCAGACATGCCTTCATCTCCTCTCAAAGAGGATAGATTTTCCAGACATAGTTTTGACCCTGATGTGCCTCCTACTGTCAAAGATGGAATAATGTCTCGATTGAGTATCACTCCGGATGTGCCTCCCTCTCCTGTCAAAGACGAAGGAACGTCTGGACTCGGTTCAGTCCAAGGTGTACCTTCTCCTTCACTTCAGGAGAACTCTACTACACACTTCAGTGCTGCTATGTCACTTCAGAAGGAAACGAAGCTAGACCCTGATACCGCTTCCAAAGGAGCACCGTCAAGAAGCAACTTTGTTGCAGCGACTGTTCCTCCCCCAATTATTCTACCTTCGAATCCTACATCGAAATCTGATGAATTGCAAGATGTGAAAGCGCAGAAGCCGCGGCCATCAGGAAACATTCTACATAATACCCGATACACGAAGTTCGAAGAAACAGTGGATTTACTACCTGTAGGATCTCGACCAAGCTTCATGTCGAAGAAGGCGGACAGGGCCGATGCTCCGCTCAGGTCGAGTTACGTTAGTGCACCTTCTCCAGCACCACGCCCGATAACCGTTCCGCCGACCGGTCAAGCTTTATCGACTGTGCCTGCGGAAGCTGCCGATATTGTGTTTCCAAATCTCCATGATTACTTGCAGCAATTTGCTGCTCATGCAATGGGTGGTGTTGACTCCAGCCAAGGGTGGTCCTCTCCCGAATCACCCTCATCACCTAGGGCGCCATTGGATGCTCAGCAGCAGCTCCCGAAGCTTGGAACTTTCTATCGATCCACCCAGTCAGTGCGCCAGTCCAGGAGAGGGACTCGTAGAAGTCATGACATTGCCCAGTTCTTCCAAACTCAACCTGTTGAAGCTAGTGGCGAAGCAAGTTCACTTACAATGTCTACTCTGTTATGCGAACCGCCTTCCTCTGCCAGTGAGAGTACTGTTCATGAGCCTGACCAATTCGCAGAGACAAATCCTTTTGCGGCTAGCGTGAATCCATTTGACGAGGTCAGAGATGAATCATTACTCTCTATTGAACCTGGTTTTGCCTCAAGTAGCTCTAGACAACCTCCTTCTTCAACCTCTTCTCAACCTTCCCAGTTCTCTGCTTCTGCCCAGAGTGGTGCGGTCCCTCTTTCACATGGTGGAGGAAACTCCCATTCCTGTCCGAATGCACCACCACCACCCCCTCCCCCGGGACATTCGGGTCCTTCGCCGCCGCCACCACCTCCACCGCAACTACCCGGGAAGAAAGGTCCACCACCACCGCCTCCCCCCGGTGGGAAAGTAGGCCCTCCACCGCCCCCTCCTCCTCCCGGTGGAAGAGGAGGTCCTCCACCTCCACCTCCACCTCCTGGTGGAAGAGGAGGTCCTCCACCACCTCCCCCTTCTGGTGGGAAAGGTCCGCCACCTCCTCCTCCTTCTGGTGGCAGGGGCAAAGGGCCCCCTCCACCACCTGGGTTGAAACCGTTGAATGTTCCACGAACCAGTGTGGGTCCAGGTGGTTTTCAGAGAGCGAACAAAAACCAATTTCACCACCGAAACAGAAACTGAAACCTCTTCACTGGGAAAAAGTTGAAAGGAGCTCCTGATCATCCATGGTGTGGGACAACTTGAACAAGTCATTTGAGTGAGTACACCTTGACTTTTTTGATCCTAGTTGCCATGCTATTGTTCAGTGTTTTTTTTTCTTTTATTTATTTTATTTTTTCGTCGTGAACTGTGCGTTTTCGCTCTTTGTATTGATGGTCTATTTGTACTGTTTGGATGCAGACTTGACCCGCAGATGTTGGAGACCATGTTCGGAGTGTTACCAATTCCCAAGAAAGATGCATCTAAGAATGTTTCGATACAGAAGAAAGCAGAGACGGTGACTATTTTAGATGCACGAAAGGCTCACAACTTCGCAATTCAGCAGCGCGCTTTGGGAATGCGAAGCATTGAAGTATGCGAGGCATTGCTTGAGGGTAAATTCCATCCTCCCAATATATTTAGTGTTTTTGTTGCTGAGCTGGTGAACGTCACTGCGTCTTGGTTGGTAGTGTTCCAGTGCGTCACGGAACTTGCAACGTATATTTCGAATGTGGAGTATAGCATTCATCCTGATTTGAACTAGATGCTTAGTTCAATTCATTCATATTTACCAGAAGGTTTTTACCCATGTTTCTCAACTTCGTCACTCGCCTGACAAGCATGTGCTTGTCTGAGGGGTTGGTACTCATAATTCACCCTGACAACTTTGTTCCTTGTGGTACTTTCAGGTGAGGGACTTACTTATGAAGTCTTGGAGACGCTGGTCAAGGTTGCTCCCTCGGATGACGAGAAGAGGAAGTTTCAAAAATTCAATGGGAAACTTTCAGATCTCGGTCCCTCTGATCGATTCTTCCATGCGCTGCTGGAAGTTCCAAACGCTTGGTCTCGACTCAATGCAATGTTGTATCAAGCCCAGTACAAGGAAGAATTGCGTCAAGTGCAAGACGGACTGCAAATCCTTAAGGTGCGTTCGTTTCTGTGCAGTGCTTTCTGGATCACGAAATGTATGGATACTTGATTTAGTATACAAATGCTGTGGTATTTGATTTTGCATTCATGTACGAATTATCGATCTAGTAGTTGTGGAAAACTGCACACCAGTTCACCCTGATTTGACACTGGAAACCGATCTCACTTATGCCTTTTGTGCCGATTTGAGTCTCCAACATCTTAAGTTTTTTTTGTGTGCTGTAGCTCGCCTGCAAGGAGCTGAAGGAAAGTCGGACATTCCGAAAGCTTCTAGAAGCTGTTTTGAAGACTGGAAACCGCCTTAACATGGGCACCAATCGGGGTGATGCACAAGCATTTAAACTGGATACCTTACTGAAACTTGCTGACGTCAAAGGAACTGACAACAAAACCACCCTCCTTCACTTCGTCATACAGGAGATTATCAGATCGGAATCCTCTAAACTTAATCGAACGGGTAGTACGTGCTCTACTCCTTGTACTCCCAGTACGCCGGGTTCTCCAAACTCCAATTTCTCATCCAATTTGGAAGCAGCAATGGAGAATCCAAACGCTCCAAACATTGGCGGAGAAGAATCGAAGAAAATGGGGATGGAAATGGTCATGCGGCTTCCTGCAGAATTATCCAATGTGAAAAAGGCAGGGATGTTGGACCTGAACTCATTGAAGGCATCTGCACAAAAGCTTATTAATGGGTTAAATGGAATCAGAGCCCAAGTTCGTGAGAAGAAGTATGCCATCCTTGAGCAGGGACCCAGAGGCTTGGAGCGTTCCATTGATCTATCAGAGGATCATTTCCAGGGAGTAATGGAAAAATTCGTGGCGAATGCTGAAGCGAGAGTCGCCGTTGTGCAAAATGATATTGCAGACGTATTGGTGCACTTGCAGAAGGTCAGTGTGTATTTCTACGGTGTGGATGGGGTGAAGAACGATTCTGAACCTCTGAAAGTCTTTGTTGTAGTGAAACAGTTCTTAGGTATGCTCGAACAGTCTTGTAAAGACGTCATCAAGGCCAATCAACTTGTTGCCAGGACCAGAGGACAACCACCACAACGTTGAAAAGGATACACTCATGTAGTTAACCGTTGTACCATACTATCGAGTGAGTGCACGTCCAAGTTTAGAGGGGCGATGTTTGAAAATTAACCTGTCCAATGGTTAGCAGTAGCTTCGTTACTTTACCCCAGAAGGTTTCTTGCATGTGAGCAGTATCACATACCATTAAGTGCATCAATTGTGCGCTATGTATTTTTACCATCTGCGCTGCCACCAGACACTTTTCTGTACATTGCTGACGAAAATCAATTTGAAGTGTCACTTTCATAAAACAATTTAGTGAGAAGTTGGCATTTTTCATCGTCTGTTAAAGTAAATTCTATGTGGAAGACAAAATCCCGCAATTTAACAAAATAAATCATAAATGTATAGCATATACGAAATTTACCAGTACTGTCAAACCGTCATATCAACATGTGCAGCTCTCTTCCCAATATCCTTCTCCGCGCAAATAGTCATGATCAGAGATTGTAGACCAAATCAATGCCAATCTGTAAATCAAAAAAATTGCTACTGGAATACAGACTACACTCCTATAACATCGACACTTTCACGATTTTCTATGCTTTCTTCCTCCTCGGCGCTAATCAACACTGAAACAGAGCTTACTTTGTCATCGGAATCAAGCCTCATAAGTTTTACTCCCCTGTCACAGCCACATATCACAAACTTAATTAGCTCTTAGTGTTCAATAATTGATAACTATGGCACTTCTTTTTAGAATACTGCACTGAAACAACCAAGGTGATGAGGTTAGTTTGATTAGACAGTGTCATTCACTTGGATACCATGATACGTTGGTGCTCAAACCACTATCAACACGTAAAACTCTCGTACATTATGCAGGTTAACCATTAAACCTTGAAATAAAAAAACTCCATCCATCCATTCAAAAGAAAGACTCCATCTTTCATAAGAATAGGGAACTTGAAATTACTTAGCAGTCCGACTTTGAATAGAGACGTCCCTGACACGGAGTCGATTAAGGATGCCCTTGTTGCTGCCCACCACCACTTGCTCTTCGCTTTCCCCATCCGTTTCTGCATTAAGAAATTATAATTGAAAGGTAAAGAAAGCAACTGCAGAACATGCATAAACTGAAGCTTGCACGTCTTAAAACAGCAAGGGAAATGACTGAGAGCACAGAATTTTAAAGAACTATTGCAAGTCACTAATAACAGCATACGGTGAACTTCAAGATAACCCTTAACATCGGCCAGATTATGAATTCTGAGCTTTTCATCAATTCGAGAATTTGAAAATGATGCATACCTGACAAGTTGGCCCCCACAACGAAGAGTGACGCCAAAAGGTCACCCTCATGAAACTGCTCAATTATAACAGATACCAAGGAAATTTTTAACACCACAAATAGATTAGAACCACCAAAATTACAGTAATTGATGAATCACATGGAGAAGTCAGGTTCTACAGACTATTACGAGATACCTAAAGTTGAAAACTACAGGATACGTATGCACGCCCAATGAGCCACTTAAATGCATGTCCCTGCATTTGAACTTAAGTTTATGCATGTCTCTTTAATGCACTTAAACAACGTTCTTCTGAGTAAATATGCAATGAAAGTCAAATCTCTGCATTCATAATGTCATATAGATGACACTAACCTTGCATCCGATTACACCAACACGGCCAGCGACACCCTTCGGAAAAGCTTTGATTGGCACGCGTTTTCCAAACCCATCCTCAGTTACCATGAGTAGCCATGGAGCACCTGTTTTCTTAGTCCCCCTGAACACGTAAAAATCAGTCAAAATCAGATAATAGAATAGAGAGGATCAGAAAAGACCCATTCATGAATTTTCTAATGCATGGTGAACAATTCTTTTAACCAATATGAGACAACAGTTTCACGCACGCTGGCAAAACATTTTCATTTTAAGATTGGTCAGTAAAAGATCAATACAACAAAGAAATCAGACAAGCATTACGTATAGTTAGTAATGAAATTGCATGTACTGCCTTACGTGCGTACTAAGGAAGCTGGTACTATGTCCATAGCAGTCAACTTATCATCTCCTCTCAATCGCATAGCTCTTACACCCCTCGTCGCCCTTCCCCTTGCTCGCAACTGCATGAGTCGTTACATCCAAAATCCATCAATTTACTGGCAAAGAAAATCCTGCACCTCAGTGCATATGCAAGAAGAATGCCCCCACAAACGAACTACTTTAAACACATCCAGTGAAAAGGGATTCTATCCACTCATTTAATGTAGTCACTTGCTCCATACCCGCATGCATATATGAATTTTACACAAATCAATTGAAAACATAGAAAGAATAATCCACATTGATCAACGCCACAACAAGCAAAGGCCAAGTACATGTGAACGTGTAGACTAAAAGGAATGCACATGGCAGCCAACTCGTGCGACTGTAGACATTCTAAGTACCAATTAGTGAAACAATACCTTGTCATCGTCACAGCCGATGCATACAACCATGCCCCGTTGAGAAGCTAATGCAACAGTATCTTCTTCAGCGGCATTTCGCACCCACTTCAACTCATCACCGGGGGTCTGCCAACGTTTCATGGCATCCAGAAGCAGAATTGGAAACTTTAGACTCAGGAGCCGATGTGGGCACACAAAACTTTTGTTTATTAGGATTCGATCGAGCGGCGTATTACTGTCAATTTTGCAAGGGCCAGAAATCACACCCGAGGCAGTAGAACAATCACCGGAAATAACTAGGTGTACCAAACCTCAGCTATAGAATCCTAATGTGTTCACAATAGAACTCTTTTCACGTATACGCGTAACTGGACACTAAGGCTAAATGCTTTAGTGAAGTAATACACTTACCAGCTGAATGGCGACAATTCCTGTAGAGCGAATAGAAGCGAATGAGGAGAGAGCAGTGCGCTTGATATATCCACCAGTAGTTAGCATGACCAAGTACTGATCCTCCGCAAAATCACTCACAGACTGAACAGATGTGATTCTTTCACCGGGTGGCACTGGCACGACCTATCAGAACATCAAAAATGAATCAGAGATAAATCTTCAAGTACAAATTACATGGAAATTCAAGTACATACTAAGCAGAATGAGTACAATATTACAAGCGCGGCACGTTCTCCGTTGTGTGCGTATGCGAGCGTATCTCGAGAAACCAACAAGATGAAGACATAAAAACAATAACCAGCACCTGAACAAGAGGGTTTCCTGCTGAAGTTCTTGAACATTCTGGTATTTGATATGCTCGTATTGAATATACAATGCCCCTTTCACTGCTCCCAAAAGGTGAAACAAGTTTCAGTAAATTGGTATATACTGAATTAATCCGATCATCATAAGGTCATGTCCAACTTAGCCTAAGCTTCCCTTGAATCCATTGTCAGCAAAAGATGAGCACAGGTAAAATAGTAAATGATTTCATGATCAACAGGAGTTCTACATGCGCTTCCCTGTATATCAAGACACAATTGCCCTTTCATTTGATCCTCCTTAGCTATCATATAAAGTAAGCCCTCCTATTTCAGAAACATCAAGGAAAATGTCGAACAGATCGATTAACACGATTGAGAAGAGCATGGAAACGAAGAGAGCCCAGACCTAAAGAATAGAACATAGTCATGAGTGCGGCATACAAAGAAGTCCGACATGGCATCGTTACTCCTCATTTTTCCACCAGATTTGCCGGTAGTTCCGCGATTTTGAGCAGTAAAAGTCCCAGCTGCCATGCGCTTGATGTATCCCTTCTCGCTAAGTGTCTGTAAGGAAATCCAAAAGAGAACCCAAAAGAGAATCCAAAATAGTTCATTTCGTGGGCAAGGCCGAAAGTACAAGCAGCTTCTGAGAAATTCAAGAAAACTAATGTCTCCAATGCAGGCTGCTAAAGACTGCCCAGTGAACAGCTGAAGTGAAAAGTTTGCTCGGAAGCTTCTAACATCAGCCACCAAGCATTGAATCAACAAATGCTTGCATCTCTTTTCTAAATAAAAAATCAACAAAAAATACAAACTAAATGCCCATCGCTGTTTTCTTTTTTTACTCACAACAATAGTTTCTTCATTCGCTATGACATCTATGTCATTGATCTCTCCATCACGCCCTTGCTCAACAAGTGTGCGCCGTGGTGTTCCATATTCTTTTTTCAATACTAACGCCTCCTTCTCGATGATCTACACGCTCAAATTCAGAGGTCACCAGTAAGAACCTGCCTCATGAATTCTTACGAAGCAGAATAAGGATTCAGGGATATTTTTTACAAAATTGAATCGACAATGCACAAGTTGGGAACGTGAGTATTCAACTTAGTATCTAAAAATCATTGCATGCTCCAGTCATTAACTACAGCCGCATCAAAGATGAATAACAACAGAAATAGCAAAGGATATGATTCGATAATTGTTCAATCGTAAGTGAGTAAGCAACGTTGATAGAACATCATAACAAATGCCAAGTAAAATAGTCACCTGCAGAACTCGGTGCTTGCTTTCTAGGAGCTGCTTTAGATCCGTTATTTCAGCAGTCAATGCGTCATGCTCTTCCTTCAGCTTTCCACTCTGTAAAAATCACATCAAGATTATGTTAATACAACTGTAATTTAAAAGAGGAGCATGATACAATGAAGAACCATGAAATGTTACAGTGATCAGGAGTTTAATACCTCCAGACTTGTAAGCCTTCTTAAAGGCATGGCTAACAGAGCATCAGCTTGAGCAGGAGTGACATTGAATCCTGCATGGTAACAAACACCTCAGAAACTATGATTCCTAGAAGCAATGATTTTCTTTAAAATAAATCTTATTCAAGACGGAAAATATATGATAAAATCAAAGATAACCTTTTTGTAACCCTTCGGAAGCCTGTGCAGTATCCTTGGCACTGCGAATAATTTTCACGACACCGTCCAAGTTTGAAAGTCCTATCAAAATTCCCTGCAAGAATTCAAGTGAATCCAATCATAGAAGTCGCAATCGTACAGAACTTTGGAGGTCAATCTGGATCTTAAGAACGACAAAACAGACAAAAGGGACTTCATTTCACGAACTCAATTGTCGTGTTTCATTGCCAAGAAACATGTCTTTGAGGACATTGTGAAATGACACGCGAAAAGTGTACCGATAAGCGATTAAAAAGTGCTGGTACGTGACGACAATGAGACCAAGATTATTCCTGACGAAGAGAAGTGGCAAGAATATTTCTAGTTATTTACACAACCCTCTAAAATTGCAAGCGAACAAGGAGAAACTTACCTCAACAATGTGATCACGATCCTCAGCACGCTTCAGCTGAAATTTTGCGCGTCTTTCGATAACTGAGCATCTGAACTCCACAAATGTCTATTCACGTACGAAACATGAATATTAGAAAAATAAACAAATTAACAAATAAAGCGGCTACCATACCAGCCAAAAAGTTTATCGAAATTCCATAGACTCAAGGCAATCAAAGCAAAAACCGTGGATGAATCCCCTGAACATTGACCGCCACAAGGAATGGGTATAAGACCATCATATAATCGATGAATTTAAGATACGTAGAGATTTCTTGCATAATGAAAGCTTAACTTCATGATTGCAGAATAGTTAGGTATAAGCAGGCACCAATTTTCATCAAAATTACCTCTAAAAAGTCCTTTAGGCCCATGACTTTAGGCTCGCCACCGATGATTCTGAAATTAGTTACATAAAGAGAAAATCAGCTACAACAATTAATGTCTGGATACTGATCAATAATTCAAAATGCAGTTGACAGGTCGTTTGAACTTATCAACAATTAGATAGTGATCCTAACCAAGTGGAGCCAAGTGCCACTCTACGATATGTATACGATCAAAGACTGAATGCAACATGAAAACTATTAGACAATGCACAAAACACAAATCATAGAAAAAGCATTAAGACAATTTGTATTACACAGATATCTGCACACTTACCCAACCATATTGCAACTAAATCGTGTCTGTAAAGTAGTATATTTGTACAAGTTGTTTAGTACCACCTTGGGCATGGCTCCTCTTTTCACCTGTATACAATACGGACGTCCAAGAACACGGTTACAAAGGAAGTGTGAGATAAACGTACTATCTTACCAATCAGAGGTACACACGATGATTGCATTGTCCAAAATTGGGTGCAAAAACATTCTAACAAATGTGAGCGGTAGAAATGAAGTAGGAGTAATATAATTTCAAGTACATGAACCCACCAAAACGGGATCTCTATATGAAAACCTTTATGAATGAGAATAACTATGACGAAATAAGGTGCTAACAATATATAATATAGTCCACGGATATAGTCCACGGTAAGCTTCACAGTACCTCAATAACGATCCGCATTCCAAAGCGATCGCTTTCATCTCTGATGTCACTAACACCCTCAAGCGTCTGGGACCCAAAGGTGCACATTAATATGTATTCAAAAGTCACAAAATCATACGTAGGAATAAGAAATCAAGTTTGACCAAATCACTACGTAACTATTTCAATGAACTAGTGAGAAGTTTCGGCCCCAGTAAACAGCTAGAAAACAACTCGCAAAACATGAGGTCTATGTCGTTGAGCTCAACATGGCTACAAATATGATGACTTTTGAGGGATTATGTATAAATTTCACGACAGATTTCTAGTAAAAGGCTTCAGAAGAAAACGTCCAAAATAAGCATGATAAATCCAAGAAGATATGTAATGCACCTTGTTATTCACGAGATCTGCAATCTTCTCCACAAGAGCAGCTTTATTTGCTTGGTATGGGAGCTGCTCACACAACCACGGCCTCAGACAAGCACCAATCCAGTTATCCAATTCCACAAGCAGAGTCTCAAACAAAAGGAGGCATTTTCAAAGATTGAAAAGCTACAAAGATGCAAACTGCTATTCCGAAGCGAGCGTTTGATATGATTGAAAAGACTGAAGAGATGCTACACCAAACCTCAGAGATAATCACAGCAGATCTATTGCTCCTCCGGTCCAGCTGCTCAATTGAGGCTTTCCCTCTCACTGTCAATCGACCATGACCAAACCGATAGGCGTCCAGTATCCTGCCATTCATTCCTCAAAAATATGAATTTCTTTGTGAAGCCACTATATAACTCCAAAATATCTACCAAAGCAACTACAGAACTCTCAAGGACCAAACAATCTTGCCCAAGCATAAGCTATAACTCCCCAAGTAATTAACATAAAACGCTCAGAAATTATAAACTAAAAATCATAACCAATGCCAAAAAATTTAACTTCGACAAAATTTTGATTTGTTAAAAAGGAGGAAGAATGGCACTAAGTGTGGGTTTGAGTATACCCATCCGTCCCGAGTATCTGCCCACCGGTTGGGAAGTCCGGACCAGGTAAATGCTCCATCAACTCCTCCACCTATTCGATTTTAAATCACCAAGTTACGGCATTCAATGACCATAAGCAGCATTTTGGATCTCAGCTTTCCCAGGATCAGGGAAAAGTAGGGGTATAACTTAATCCTAAAATAAAAATGAAAATAAAAATAAAATCCACTGGAAACTAAACAGTTAAACGCATCACAAAAATTGCACTACTTGTTGTCGGAATTAATCCAAACAACTTCGAGCACTTCTTACCGTAGCGTTGGGATTGTGAAGAAGAGCAATAAGTGCATCCACAACTTCCGCTAAGTTGTGTGGTGGAATATTAGTGGCCATCCCAACCTGAAAACGTTAACAAACACTTGTGATGATACAGCAACACTAACGTAATGAACAAAAAAGGTTTATATCACAGCTTTTTTGTAAAATACAAATAACGAATAACTAGCAAGGACAGTGGGACATGTGAAGGAAAGCTCTCCAATTGTATAACCCTAAGACAAAGCATCAGGTAACCAACCTTCTCTGAACTTTCCTCCCTTACTAACATGTCGAAAATGTGAATAAACAATGGGATATTGAGAAATTTACAGCAATTCCAGAAGCGCCATTAAGGAGAACATTGGGTAGCCGAGCTGGTAAAACTGCAGGCTCGTTTTGTGACCCATCGAAAGTCGGGATAAAATCTACCTGTTAAATATACACACTGTATTAAGCTTCACACCGAAGCAGTGCAGAAGCAGAACTCTCAACAGAAGGTTTTTAAAGATTGAAAAACTGCATATTCCAAGGCTCAACCACTCTATCAACATGCAAAAATACTCACTCAATTTCGAAGATTTCAACACAATTCTATAAGTGTGCAACCCCATGAGGTATTGGCAGCATTCATAGGTTAACATAACTGGCTAAATGAACGAGATTTTCCGACTATATTTACACCCAACTAATGAGCTATATTCAGGTAATCAAGCAACTACATAAGAAAATGAAGGATAGAATTCAAAGCGAGGAGGTATTCTAGAACAGTGTAATAAAGTAAAAAATACTTCATACCGTGTCAAGCTCTAGATCTGCAAGCAGCATGGCTTCTGAAAGTCCCTGGATGGTCGTTGTGCAATAGTTCGTGTCAGAAAGTCTTAGGAGAGAAGCCTTCACCAAATAATTCGAAATAGAATGTACATTCAGATACAATCAAACGAAAGAGAAGAAAACCAGCTGCAAGTATTGACACCGGCAAGCTCTAAAAATCTCACTTGAAGGCGGCACTCTGTGTATCGCATGGCAGCAGCAGGATCGCCATCCAAAGACCCAAAATTACCATGACCATTGACAAGTGGGGATCTTAATGAAAAATCCTGTACAAACACAACACTTCAGACCACGAACAAACCTAACTAGTATGTTTAACCAGTATACCTAAGCACTGCATGCACCAGGACTCAACTCTCATTCCAGAAGTGATACCAACACTTACACTTGAGCATAAGTCGCATAAAATTAACTGCAACATCAGAAACACTTGACTGTGCTAATTGAGAGAAATTAAAATGAAGACTTTTAGAGACCAAATTTAGAGGACGCGCCACTTTTGACAACAGCCACATTATACTATTGCTTATCAACATTTTTCTGTATTTTCTAGTGTCTTCCTAAATGTTCCAATTCATCATTGCCATTGTTCCAATATAATAAAAATCCGTATGCCCAGCTCATACAAGGTTTCACAGAGCGAGAAGCTCAAATAATCAAGGAAGGGTGGAAAAACTCAAGATCCGGTCGACCATTCTGAACACATGTACAAAGCCCAAATTAGCACCTTAAAAAATTTAAGAAACGGACAGAAAATTAACCTGTGCCATTCGAACGAGGGCGTCATAAACTGCAGTATCTCCATGCGGATGAAATTTACCAAGCACCTGTAGAATGGAGGACTTGTTAGCCCCTGAAGAATCTGATATAAAGACTTATGAGGGCCTTCCTTAAGAACACTTCCAGGTTGACATTGCTGTGTCAGCCGTTTCTGACCATAAATCTATTAAATTCGACCAAAAAATTAGCACCAATACCGATTCGATTTCTTTAGAAATGTACACCAAATAATTAAAACTACACAGTACGAATCAGTCACTTTCCAACAAGTCCCACCACTGAAGGTACGACTTACCTCTCCAACTACACGAGCACACTTCTTGAAGGGCTTTTTGGATGAAAGACCGAGCTCGTGCATAGCATATCTAGAGGAACACACGAAACAAAAAAAAAAAAAAAAAAAAAAAAAAAAAAAAAAAAAAAAAACACACACACACACACGATACTTTAAAATCTCATGTGTAAAAAAACTCCTGTTGCATTTTAACTGATGTAAATCGTCAGAACAAAAGCATGATGAATCTTGAAGAACACATGCGTGAGTAAAAATCAGTTGACCCCAAATAACACAACAGGAAAATATTTATAAACTTTGTTACTTACAAAATGCGCCGATGCACAGGCTTCAAGCCATCTCGGCAATCCGGAAGCGCACGCCCCACAATAACTGACATTGCGTAAGCAATATAAGACTCCTCTGCTTCTTTGTGAAGCTCCATAGGCACAATGCGGACATCTTGAGGCCGATTGTCCTCTGCCCCGCTCCGAGATCTGCCATTGGCATCCGCACTGGAAGCGTCGTTGATGTCATCATCGGATGACTCGTCGGATACATCCTCTCCAGCCCCATTGTCAGACTCAAGTGATGACGATTCCTCCCCTGACTTACGAGCCCCTGATCCAGACACTCCACAGAAATAAGCATTTATGTTCAGGTGGGCAATAATAAAAAGTTGTTTTAGAAGCAGCCAAATGAATAACTTGAACAGCCATTTCACACTGAAACATATTCTATGGTCAACTATTGGTCTACATATAAAGAAATTAACAAAAGAAAATATATTAAAATCCAATTCAAACGCCTGGTTTCTTTACTTAAGTGAAATCAGCACCTGCGACTATATTGCCATCTTTCGAATAGCCGTCACGTCTCCAGACGGAAAACTGTCGCCCATTTGCAAGAGCAACCCTAGGCCAAACGTAATAAGTGTTTTCCACACGTCTCAAACATTCGTTCCAAGGAATGCTACGAGAGTTAGAAAATAATTGCACGCGCGTAGAGCTTATCGGAGCGACCACCAGCCTGCTCGAGCTTCGGATACGCAGGGACGTAATTCGTAAAGGGGGGCACTGAATGGGTGTGAAGGCCACCGTAGAAAGCGCCATGAAAGAGGAAGAAGAGAAGCAGGGACTCCGAAAACCTGCCGCCACTGCACTTCTGTACAGCTGAATTGCTTGTCTTTGCACCATGCCAGTACTCTCCATGGTTCATGCTGATCTCAAAAACGATCCAACACTCTGCATGACTAGAAAGCAGGATAATGACCTTCACCACACGCAAATCACGCGCAAAAACGTAAGAAAACAACACCTGAAAAAGTTCAACTTCGACAAAATTCAACCGCGTAGCAAAAATATTGCTTGAGAAACATTTGGCCTCGCCAGCAGAAGCTTCGGCGGCTTAATTTCATAACATACTCAAAAAACTAGTTACTACAACACCCTTTTCCAAACCGAAGCCGACGCTTTCCAACGAAACATTTCAAAACCAATTAGAAAGTCCACAAATCTCAAACACTAGAAATCGGCCATCTCAGCTATGAAATCCTTCAAGCTCCGTCACCATCTTCACAATCCCATCAAACAATTAGGTCACATTCAAACATTAGAATTTTATTAAGCGCTTAAAACATACGACTGCAAATTACTCCGAAACGCTGGGAGAAGAAGACCAGCGTTGAATACACACCGGATCCTGTGAAATTTTCCCCAATTTAGACCCAATGCAGGCTTGTGTTTAAGGTTCCACGGCGGGAAGGTTGCTCTCACCCTGCCACAATCTGCAGAAAAGACCGCGGCAGAATGCAGATCAGCTTCGAAGGGCTTAGGGTTCAGGGTTTATGAATCACGGCTTTGAGGTCTCCTATCCAGAAAGCTTGCAGCTGCGCCGACAGCCTATCTCCGCGGGAAAAAGCTCCTCGTCGACATAGAAAAATCAAACCATCTTTTGCTTCCATCCTTTTCCTCCATGTTCCCAATCGATCCCGTTCCCATGGCTTTCCGTTGCATTCTCGGTCGTCGATTTAAGAGTCATTATTAGTTGTTTGTATGAACAAGAAGTAACCTGAATTAAACTTTGTTTATCAAATTATGTTAAAATATTTCATATATTTATATTTATTTATTTATTTATTAAGAATCATAGGAAACACCACAAAATTGAATTAAACATCAAAACATCCTTTATTATTGTTTTTATAAAAGAAGCATAGTCCAAGCCCTAGGGCACCTTTGTATCTTCTTTGCCTTCATCTTGTAAAGAATCTTATTGATTCATCATCTAGCAATCATGCAAATTGGTTAATTACAAGGTTTACTAATCCAACAACTAAGCAAGCCATATATTTATTTGCCATTACTAATAAGTCCTTGTAATTCAAACGCATCATTTACTTCTAACACAAGCATCATGTTGTCAAGGACATGAATTAGAAGAAGATGCATAAATCTGAAAAGTCTATGTTGAAAGAAAAGTGAAAAAAATAGTAATAAAATAATATGTATATTAAAAAGAAATTAAAATGGCTATTGCTAAAAGACAAGGAAAGTAAAGACTCTTAAATCTAAACTAGAAACAAGAAAGAAGTTAATAAGAATGAAGAAGGCTTTACTCTTGCCTCTATATAAATTATCTAACTAAGAGTTATATGGCAATGTTCTATAGGACTTCTAATATGTGTTGACTTTGCAGGATACATGCCTTAACTTACAAGGCAAGTTTTCTACATGTAGACCATATAGTTAGCTTGTTCTTCAAGCTACCAACATGTGTGGCACATGGCTAACTTCTTGACCATGTTTTTAACCTAAAAAATCAATTATAGATGCCTATAAATCAAAGCAACATCTATGAAGCTTCTAAGAAGCTCGTATAAAAGATATTATGGAATTAACTTACTTTTATCTACTTTTATTTAATCATATAAGTAATTATTGGTTTACATGTGTACGTTCATGATATCACTCCCTCTTCTAGGAACAAGTTCTACAAGGAGTGTTTATTATATGTTGAAGAAATCCAAGATGCAGGAAATTGTATTTGCTACTGACTCTAATCTTTGTTCTCTTTGAAGATGGTTGATAGGACATCTCAATAATCGATAGTATCTCATACCAAGGTAAGAAGATCATCCAATTATTTGATCGTCCTTGAGGCCTTCTGTCACGGCCATAATCATGTAAGCTAATAATTACATATAGAAATAGGTAGAAGTAAGTAAAAGTAAATAAAAATAAGTTAATTCTATAATATTTAATATAGAAGCTTCCTAGAAACTTCCTAGATGTTGCTTTGACTTCATAGGTGTCTTTAATTGACTTTTTGGATTAGAAACGTGGTCAACAAGTTGGCCATGTGCCACACATGTTGTTAGCTTGAAGATCAAGCTAACTATGTGGCCCACACGTAGAAAAACTTGCCTTGTAAGTCAAAGCATGTGTCCTACAAAGTCAACACATATTGGAGGTCCTATAGAACGTCGCCACGTAGCCCCTAGTTAGATAGTATATATAGAGACAAGAGTGAAGGCTTCTTCACTCTTGTCAACTCCTTTCTTGCTTTTAGTCTAGTTTCAAGGGTCTCTAGTTTTTCTTGTCTTTTGGCAATAGCCATTCTAGTTTCTCTTTTCAATATACATACTTATTATTCATATTTTGTTACTTTTCTTTGAGTGAAGGCTTACTTGTCTGAGCTGTTTTTTCATCGAGTTCTTGTCCTTGACAGATTGACAAGAGTGTACTTACAATATCAGAGCTTTGTTTTTCTTGAGTAAGAGTGGATTACCCCTTTCTCTTGACAAGGCATAAGCGTATTAGAAGTTTGCGGATTACCCACTTCTAAACTGATATTGTTCTTAGTATCTTCTTTGTTATCAAGTCTTTCTTTTCTTTTGTCTTGAGCAGTATCAAACAAATTTTTCTTCTTAGTGTCATTATGGCAGAGCTTGTTGAAATTAAGAGTGCAATGGTACAAATGCAAGAGCAAATGAGGGAGTTAATGCTTGTGATGCATCAACTCAATTCACGAACACATGAAAGAACAAGAATAGCAGAAAGTGGGGATATAGAGATGATCGGAGCTGCTTCAACATCTACAACAAATCACGTTCCTTCTCCAATTATACAACACCCTATAAGCACTAGAGAACCAAGAATTGCCTTACCCGAGAAATTTGATGGTACGAGATCAAAGTTTCGAGGGTTCATCAATCAAGTACAATTGGCAATTGAACTTCAACTGCAAAGCTATCCAACTCCAGGATCACAAGTCAGGTTTATTGGCACTCTACTTTCTAATTCTGCATTATCGTGGTTTTCGTCTTTTCTTGAACAACGAAATCCAATATTGGACAATTTGGAAGCTTTTTTGGCGGAGTTTCGATCTATGTATGGTGAACACGATGCAACTCGTGTTGCAACAAATAAGATCCGAATTTTGCGACAAAGAAATCGCTCAGTAATAGTGTATGCTTCACAATTTCGACAACTTGCAATTGACATCAAGTGGGATGATGCTGCACTCATTAGTCAATTTCTTTATGGATTGCAATACGAAGTAAAGAAATTGATGCTCAACTTACCTGATCCTCAAACTTTGAGTCAAGCAATCGATTTTGCGGTAAAATGTGATAATTGACTTTTCAAATTTTGATCCGAGAATCATTCATGGGAACCTTAACGTTATTACTCAATGGCAACATCAACATCTTTGCCAAACGTACATTCGGAAGTAGAAGACATGCAAATTGACGCGGTACGTTTTAAACCCCTAACTGAGCAAGAAAAGATTCGTCGTCGTCAAGAAGGATTATATTTATATTGCGGAGAACCTAAGCACATTGCTCAACATTGTCCAAAGAAACGACGCAACTATAAAATGAGGGGTACGACGGTCAAAGAAGACAACATGTCAGAAAACGGATTCGTCCAGCTACAATAGGGACTGTGCAGCTGGAACCTTGTACAATTCCTAATGAAGGTCCTATCCTCTCCTCAGAACCCTCTCCTTGTTTTATAATAGACTTATATTTAGGACCTAAGAATTACAAAGCCTCTGCTTTATTAGATTCGGGAGCCTCAGCATGTTTTTTAGATGAACAATTTGTTAAAAGTCGTAAAATACCCTTTGTACAGAAACCTAAACCAGTACATGTAGAAGTCATAGATGGTCGTTCCTTATCTTCTGGAGATGTCACTCATGAAACTCATCCTATAAAAGTAACAATAGACGGTCATGATAGCTACATAGCTTTTAACATAATTAAATCCCCATCCAATCCAGTTATTTTAGGTTTATCCTGGCTAGAAAAATATAACCCTCGAATAGATTGGAATTCGCGTAAACTTGACTTTTCCCAGAGCGTTATCAATAGTTCTACCAACCAAGTAAAAAATTATAAGTCTAGTATAGTAAAACCCGTACTGATAGGTACAAAAGCATTTATACACGCAGCAAAAGAAGGATCAACTTTTGCTATTTATGCTGCACCTATTTCTGAAAACGTAAAGACTTCAAGTGGCATTCCAAGTCAATATCAGGAGTATCAAGACGTTTTTGAGAAAAAGAATGCAGATATTCTTCCTGAGCATCACCCATATGATTGTTCAATCGACCTCAAGGAAGGAACTCAGCCACCATTTGGACCAATTTACAGTTTATCGCAAGATGAGATGGCTGAACTCAAGACATATATTGACGAGAATTTAGCGAAGAATTTCATACGCCATTCAAAATCTCTAGCAGGAGCTCCAATTCTATTCGTAAAGAAAAAAGATGGATCTTTACGAATGTGTGTTGATTATCGAGGACTCAACAAGATCACAATCAAGAACAGGTATCCATTACCTTTGATATCAGGACTCCTTGACCAGTTGAATCAAGCTAAGATCTATACAAAAATAGATCTAAGAGGAGCATATAATCTAGTACGGATCAAAGAAGGAGATGAATGGAAGACTGCGTTTCGAACCAGGTATGGACATTTCGAATATAATGTCATGCCCTTTGGACTCACGAATGCACCAGCTGCTTTTCAACATCTCATGAATGATGTATTTCGTGAATTCTTAGACAATTTTGTTGTCTGCTATCTAGACGATATCCTAATCTATTCTAAGAACGTCGAAGAACATGAAATACATGTTCGTCAAGTATTACAAAAACTTAGAGATGCAGGATTGTACGCCAAGATGAAAAAGTGTGTTTTTCACACTACTCAAGTTGATTTTTTAGGATACATCATTTCAAATGATGGTCTCATGATGGATTCTAAGAAAGTCCAAACAATCATGGATTGGAAGATTCCAAGGACAGTAAGAGATGTCCAATGTTTCTTGGGATTTGCCAATTACTATCGGATCTTCATCAAAGATTTCTCACGAGTTGCAGCTCCACTTACACGCTTGACTAGTAAAGATAAATTCTAATGGAATCAAGAAGCGGAAGCAGCATTTGAAGCCTTGAAGACATCGTTTGTCTCTGCACCAGTCTTATATCGTGTTGACTTTTCCAAGGCATTTTTTATGGAAACAGATGCATCAGATTTTGCCTTGGGTGCAGTTTTATCAGAAATGGGAACAGATGACAAACTTCATTCGATAGCTTTTCATTCAAGAAAATTCTCAGCACTCGAGATCAATTATGAGATCCACGATAAAGAACTGCTTGCAATCGTAGATTCCTTTCAAGAATGGCATCATTATCTAGAAGGTGCTTCTAGTCTAGTCACTGTGTATACAGATCACAAGAACCTCGAGTATTTCATGTCAGCACGCGTATTGAATCGTCGTCAAGCTCGTTGGAGT